ATATTTATTATAAGCTACTTATAAAATATATAATATTAAGGTGTTTGGGAAATTTCTATCAGAAATAATAAACAAAAATATAGGACTACGGCATCCCCAGACCACACCAAAGAGATCAGAGGGTTTAAAAAAAAAAAAAAAAAATTCAACCTCTTATAGATTAACAAAATAATAAATGTCTATTTTAAATACAAATTAATATTGATAGCACTAAATACTAATACATAAATAATTTAAAAAATGGGATTTTTACGTTTTTTTAAATTTAATTTGTTCTTAATTTGAAAAAAAAATAGTTTAAATGACAAATAAAGTATTTATTCCATTATAAGAGTATTAGACGGCCTAACTAGTAATTTGTACCAGGAAATATTTACCCACAAAAATTCGCCATCTACTTTGATGCCTCTTTAGGAATATTATATTATAGTTTTCCATATGGAACATTTTCGAAACAAGTTCTATAATTAGAACTATCTAGTCAAATATAGGAATATGTGATCTCTGTTAAGTTTAATTGCGGTGTATGACCTCTGGAGGGCAACGAACGTTTGGACAAAAAACAAATTTAACTGTATCTACGCAATGCATGAATACGCTTGTCCAACATAAATATTTGTATTATTACATCATATAATAATATGTTAAAAAAATTAATTCTTTATTTATTTTAGATTCTTTAATTCATTAATTTATCATTCTAATGAATGAATTGCAAAATAAGCAATCATATAACATTCTGATATTCTGATATTAATGATTATTCAATATTCACTACCTATAATATTAATATATAATATGTCTAATAATACTATATGACGTCTGTCGTCTAATGTATAAATAGACAATAGACATATCACATATAGACATAATATAGTATAATATACCTAGTGATTATAGGTATAGTCAATAATGTTTTTCACTTTATTTTATAGTATTATTGAGATGTATGTTATAATGTATAAATATATAATATACATAGGTATATTATACATTTATACATGTATACCTATGGGATATTACCTATATTACTTGTTTGTAGTTATTATTCTAACAATCTAACAGGGTAGATAGTTGTTAATAGGTATAGTTAACCAACGGTAAATCTATTTATACCAAATTTATTCAAATTTATCTGAATGCATTCTCAAAATCAATTAAAATAACTTGAATATTTAGAATATAAACAATGAGATTTGTGGGACAACATAATACATGGGCAACTCGAATTAATTTTATAAAAATATCATCCGCAAACGAAAGCAATTCTTAATGCCAACGATGCAAAGGTGGGCAATTTAATGAAGTTAAGTTAAGAGAACACAAAATTGATAAGTTAGAAGTTAACAGCTAACAGTTAACAAATAATAAGTTTAACTTGATTAATTAAAACTTAAAAGTTAATATGAAATAAAATATTAACTTAACTCAGTTTAAAATCTCCTAAATATATAACAAACAATTTTATTTTATTGAACTTCAAGTGTAAAAGCCTAAAAACAAAATATTTCAAAACAATTTTAACTTGATGGACTATTTTTAAGTCGACTCTGGAAAGCTAAGTTATTTTAACTGTCAATTAAACCCGTTAAGTTCATAAGTTGATTAGACAATTAAGTAACTAGTTAATGACCACCTTTGCTACGATATAACATATAATGTAATTAATAATTATATTTGGGGGGCGTGCGTAGTGTATGTCGTGTATGTCGTGCGTGGTAGTGGCCGAGCGGACTAAGGCGTCGGTTCAAACTTCAAAACCTCGGATGCGGGTGGCATTTTTCTTTGGGCAAGTCACGGTGTCCGGAGAGAAGTGCCGCCATCCCCCACCCGACGCGGGCAGCGTATTAGGAAACCCAGGACGCCACAGAGCGCCTTATGTATACCACGTTCTCATTGGCCCATTTCAAATTTCCCGCTTTTTTTTGTATCATTTATCAAATAGTTTAATTTAATAATATAATATTAATTTAAATATTATATTATATTATTTAATTTAAACAAATTAAAATAACTATTTAGTAGGAATAGAACTAATATTAAACAATATTATTATGTTATTATAATCCAATAAATTAATGTAGAATGTGATCTCTACACAGTTATTTTTATTTTTTACTTTAGTAGGTACCTATACCTACCTCAGAGTGAACATTTCTTACTGGACTAAGTGTATTGTACTTGTACACACCTTTTGTGCTAGCTAAAAAGATTGTCTAGGTTTTTCCTAACATAGAAACAAAATACCAATCTTACTTAAATGTTTTATTTTTACTAAAGCATAAGATTCTTAATTAAAATAGGTAGGTATCTTACCTAATTTTCATTCAATTATATTTTGCTTTCATGTAAGCGTATCGCTTCAGCAGCACCCATTCCATCCTCAAAATACATATTAAACACTTGCTCCACCTTTAAATAATAATTACAATTATTTAATTAAACATATATTTTGAATTATTAATACACCTAATATGTATATTATGATGAAAATGTCTTATTAAAAATATTATTTAAAAAAAATATAATGATTTAACCTTTTCAATATGTGCCTATGTAATTGTGTACATAAAATAAAACAATTTTTCAATTTAAAATTCTAAAACAATAGTTAATAGGTTACTGCTATAATTCTATTCATTTATATTATAATATATTAGTATAACCACCTAATGTACACCTTGACAGCTTTACTATATCTACTAACTACATGTATTGATGTACAAGCACATTATTAAACATACCTACTAATTTAATAAAATAAACTATTACCTCAGGTGTTATCCGTAAAAAATTCATTGAACCAATTGTATTGACTGAATGATTATGACTTTCATTCATCGATATTTTAGCACAAAGAGGGGTCTCTTAACAAAAATGTATAATTTTTTCTGGTGTTACGGTTGTTTTTTTTTATTAGTATGTCAAATTTTGCATCACAGAATGTGTTTCTAATTGTTTCATTACATTTTACTTTGTTCACCTTACTGTGCTGGCATACCCAATATTTATGAAACATTACTCTGAAAAAAAAAATGTCTTATACATTAATATTAATCAAATAATGAGAACTATTTTTACTTACCTTGATGGATTGTCAAGCTGACCAACACGAATCCAATTAGTTTTCGAAAATTCTTGGTAAAGCATTATGAAATTCTCAACTTCATTAACATTATTAATATTATTGGCTCTAAGAATCGAGGTCCTTTCATTTATATTAGAAACTTCATTTGATAGAACCGCAATGATATTATTATTTTTTAAGAACTTAATGAATTCGTCCATTATGAATACAATATTGAATATAATTGATTATTCAGAAATGCAGAAATAGAGAACTACCACCAACAAGTTAAATACCCAAACAACCAGAGCTTAAAAATACCTAACTAATGAAAATGCTAAGATGCTTTAAACACTAACAACTTAAAATTAAAAGTACAACTATAACGGAGATGTACAATTAAAGTTTTAACATGACAGCAAGTCAATAATCAATTTAATATTCCTGTTGACAAATTAATAATAGCTGGTAGGTAGTCTGGTAGTCAATAAATAAACAATGTGACTATACTGTTATCAGTTTGATATATTTAGATTATAATTTAGGAGCTATATCTACATATATTTTAGTGGCGACATCAATTAATTAATAATTAATAAACGAAGTAGGTACCAAGATGTAAATAAGATAAACTTCTGTTTAAAGTTTTGATATTTAGGAAGTCATGTTGTATATTCAGAGCTCAACTGATGTGCCATGTGGTACCTGCAGCGATTGTTTTCCAGCTTTTTCACCTCTAAATACTGTGCATCGACAGAAATTTAACATGCGCCTCGCATGGTCATCATAGTAAAAAAAAATACTTTAAAATATGTTAAATATGAAAAAACATTAATTTAGGATAATCAAATGCAAAATCCCATGGTAGAGGTCACTGAACATATAACATGTATTTTTCATTGTTTTTACATATTTTTTTATTCGAATTAATATTTTATGACTTCATTATGAAGTTTATACTGGAATTACATTAAATTATATTATTATTTGTGACTAGGTATACTGTTATCAGTTTGATATATTTAAATTATAATTGATAATAAACTTAGTAGATGTAGAAGATAAACTTCCCTACATCATAAGATAAACAAAAATTAATGTAATATAATAACAAATTGTTTAATTGTTTGCTAAAAAAATTCGTAAATCTGTGTTCAAAATGATTACCTAATCAAATTATAATAAAAATGAATGGTATATTTTATAATAATTTTCATTATAATCTATATAGGAACTTGTAACACCTATAAAGTATTATCGGGTAGGTAAAATTTTTGAATTTTGTTAGTAAATTTTTGTTATTTAGGGAGTCATGTTGTACATTCAGGACAATTAAATCATATTCAGAGCCCAACGGACAGAAATGAGTGCTTTGAATAATTAATAAAAATGAAACATAATAAAACAAAATGGGACTTGTAGTTTTTAAAATAAAAACCTCGAGGTCCTCCGCACGGTATTATAGTAGTGTTGCGCGCACGCGTATAAACGTAAAATCGTTAACTTTGAGAGGCTATAACTTCCAAAATAATCATTTGTGCACATTTTTTTTTTGCACCATCTTTCTTAACTCGTCAAAACAACTCTTTTCAAAAAAAAAAGGTTGCCCGGTAAACTAGACTTATTCCAGTTTTATTTTCTGTAGGGTGTTTTAATAAGTGCTAAAAAATTAATAAGGAATCTACACTAAATAAAATTATATATTCACTATTTACATAAAAATCCATGCCCTATTTATTAGTGTTAGGTAAAAGATAACTGGTACTTATTGTTATACTCTAAGTTATGACACAATATTACATTATTTTATATTGTATACAAATCTTACACAGTAAAAGTTTAGAATAATATTCTTTATTTTACTATTACTATCATATAAGATATTATTAAAAATTATTTATTATTGAATAAAAATTATATAGTAGGTATACATTTATTTTGTACGTTGTTTCTTTAGAGTAGGTTTTTGGAATACTTGTTTCATACCAGCTGCTTGATTAGTATGAAATTTTAAGTTTTGCGCTGTCTCAGACACCCAGGGCGAATCAAAACTAGTTGTGTCTTGATCAACCAAATGTGTATATTTTGTGCGTCCACTACGACCAAAGTTTTTAACCTAATAGAAAAATTAAATGTATAATAATAATGTTGTATAGTTCAAACTATATTGATAATATTTTTGATAGCTTACTTGCATAACTTTAGGCAAGATTGTCTTATCAAAGTGATCTTCAAGAGTGGCTGATGAATAATCTCTTTTGAAAATATCATTTTCTTCATCCTATAAAATACAATAAGCGAGTATTTTATAAATGCATAATATAATATTATTATATATAATATTTAATTAATTGAATAATACTAACCAAATAAAATACTCCACGGTGGTAATATTTTTGCATGAATTTATATTTGCCTTTAGCTGCTTTATTAGTAACTTGTTTTGGATTAAGTCGTATTTCTAACCTTCTCTCTTCTTCAGTTAAATTTCTAAGGCGCTCTATCTCTGTCTTGTCAAATTCTCGCCTAAAATAAATGTATGAATTTATATAAATTAAACCCTTATTTTAATTGCTAAGAAGTTCTAACTTCTTAGAAGCACTTTAACTGATAACATACAATTAAAGTTGTAAAATATTTTTCTAAGAATTCAAAAGCTTTATAAATATATAAATAATTAAAATTACTGTTCATGTTCTTCTCTGTCTCTTTTAATGTGTTTTAATTCTCTAAGTTTCCAGGCTTCATATTCATTTTCATCATTTTCATCATCTGTGTTTACATCATTTAAACATGGTTCGGAAAGTGCGCTATTTGCTTTTGATAAGGATTGTTCTTTACAAATTTCTTTTTCAACCATCTAATTGTGAATAATAATATTAGATTATATAATTATTTCTAAACCTAAATACCTAAGTAATTGTTAGTATTTTAGACTTTTGACTGCCTATCTCAAAAAATATTTAAAATGTTTGTAATTATATAATTATTACTTTAAAAGAGTATAACTTCTGGTACAGTGATGAACAGCAGATAAAATACTGCTGTGAATCAAAATTTTTATTCCGGGCAACGGAAAAGTTAAGATAAATTTTGAACACTATACATTGACTATTAAATAACGAATTGAACAAAGTTTGAGTCATAAAGATTTGGTACATTTAACGGGTAAGAAAGTGCACGGGATCAGTTATTTTATTTTATATTTTTTGATTTAAAAAAAAGTGGCATGCTACTAGATATTTTCCTCGGCAAGGAAAATTGAAGAATTATACATATCTTTTTGGGTATAATACAGAGGAAAAATATCTATACTCTTTTCTACTAGAGAACGGTACCGGTGGCCGACCAAAACGCATCCTCCGCAGGGCATTCCCCACCATCTATCAGTTGTAAGCGTGATCACATGGTCGTCCAAGCACCAATCGAATCATTTTACATGTGCGAAACGGTACCGTTCTCTCGTGGAAAAGAGTATAGTAGGTAGATTTGTAGAATAATAATTGTTGCTTTACGATTCTAGATGATTTTTGAAGAATGCTCACCAATTTCTTCTTTAATATTATATTTTTTCAAATTTTGATTTTTAGAATTTTTAAGATAATATTAAACTAAAATAATATTTTCCAATCAGAATTTGAATATATGCATAAATATATGGTGAGCATGCTTAAAAATTACACTGTGTATGTTTTTTTTTTCTTTTCAACCCGAAGGTTGGTTTACAACTCCAATTCTCCATTCTAACCGATTCCTCGCCTTTTCTTTGAGTTCTTTGAAGGTTTTGACTTTTGCATCGATTTTAATTTGTCCTATATACAAGTTCCGCGGACGTCCTGCAGTTTTCTTTCCTTCTGTCATACCCTCCATTATTATTTCTATCGATCTAATTAGCACTCACAATCCTAAAATTGCTTCTCGTGTACCTTTTTGTCTTCTGAATCCATATTGGTCATTTTTTAAGTGTATTTTTACTGTGTATGTTAAAAAATATAAATATAGTGAAGATTGTGGATTTTTAATGAAAAATTTTCATTAAATTACTTTTAACGTCTTGTGTCGTGAAACACTCAAAAATCAGTTCATAGATAACGTTCATAAATAATGAGCAACTTCATTCAATTTTAAGAATTGGGACAGCAAAATTTCAACCAGACTTTTCATTATTAGTAAACGAAATACAATGCAAAATTTCACTTTAATAATAAGTGTAAAACATCTTTACATATTTTTATTGTTATTAATATTATTAAGTATTTATTAAATGTAGACCTAAAAGAATTAAAAATTTGTCTTTTTAGATATTTGTAAGGGGCTATGTAGAAAAGAGAACTTAGGGTTAGGAAATACCTAAATATATAATAATATTAATATTACTCTTAATGTAGCTCTGCGTCTTTCTTCAGCCAATTTCTTTTGTTCATATTCTAATTGTTTTTGTTTTATTTCTTCTTTTTTTTTTTCCAATATAGTAACACGTTCTTTCTTTCTTACAAAAATTGGCTTCAATCGAGGACCAGTTTCTTCATCAGAAGCTGAAACAAAATTATAATTTTTATTATGACAATAAAACTTTATTACTATAATAATTTACCAGAATAGTCTTCATACTCTGAAGATTCATCACTATCATCATCATCTGAACTATTTCCTTCTTCTTCTTTTTCAAGTACTTCATTCATTTCCTAACATCCAAAATAATTAAAATTTTAAGATCAAATTATATTTAGTGTATAGATCATACATGTATATCTTGATCATGAATTGTGAAATAAAAATAACACACAAACCACAGAACAAAAATCTTTTAAAAATAATTTTATATTAAGATGGTGAATGGAAAGTATAATATTTATTATAGATTATTATAGCTGTTGGGCCATCTTTGAATGTTATTGAAAATATTTTCTTTGAAATCTTTTTGCGCCTAATAAATATTCCTGTATTTTTAAAATATGTCGATTATAGTACAAGAAAAAAGTGTAGTAATTAATTTTATTTTTTATTATATATACATTTTATAAAATTAGATTGGCCTAAAATGTTTAACAAGTACCTTTGTAATGTATTGTGTAATATAATATAATCAATAGTTAATAAAGAAAAAATTGCATTTTTTAGGAGGATTTGTATTCCAATTACCCTAGATTATATCCAATAAACTTATTGTCCCCATTAGGTATATATAGGTTGGTTATTTCATATGATAATAAAAAATAAATTATATTTTAGTTTTTAGTAAATTACTTTTTCTTTAGTTTGGTTCAAAACTCTTTGTCTCAACCGTTGTCTTCTCTTTTCTATTTCATTATCACTAAGTTCTCCATCATCATCATTACTGTCTTTTTCATCACCAGACACCTGTCTACGACTTCTACGATTGCGTTCAACATCAGATTCATCATCAGATGAATCATCTTTAATAACTTGTGGCTCATGCAAAAGTCGCCTATCTTTATGCCCATGTCGGGCAGTTAAACCACCTAAACGTTTGAGGCGTGCATCATTTAAGGCATCTGATGGTAAATGAATCATCTGTTCTGAATCAAAATTAGTGGTGGGAGATGCTCCCCGCACTTTACGAGAGTCCAAGAAATCATCATCATCTGATTCTTCTTCAGATGTAGACTCTGGAGCATATTCTGGACGCTTGCCTTGAACATATCGGTGAACTTTCACCTTTTGCATTGACACTTCACCTAAAAAACAAAAAAATAAAGTAAACTGCTGTACAGGACATATGTAGGTGGTGAATTAATAGTGAATAATTACCTTTCTCATTTCTTACAGGAATAGCACCAGCTGTGCTTTGAATTTCTTCCATTTTAATTTAAAGATAGAGCCAATTTTTTTCTTAATATTTATGGTTTATGGGCTTATGGCTAATGGGCAATGGATATTAACCATTAAGAAAATAATTCAGATTATTATTATTTATTATCATTTATCAGTATCTTATTATTTTTTTATTAATACTTAATAGTACAATCAAGGGGGGTTCACACTACACCGTGTCGTGTAAAATAATCACGGTTACCACAGTTACCAAACGATACCGCATAGTTGAATATATTCAACTTTTGACCGTGTGGTTACATTTATGTGCAGATAAAGCCGGGTTCATACTTAATGTAACCACACGGTCAAAAATTGAATATATTCAACTATGCGGTATCGTTTGGTAACTGAGGTAACCGTGATTATATTACACGACACGGTGTAGTGTGAACCCGCCTTCACAGTACCAAAGTGTCGAACCAGAGAATTCTGTGGTCAAACCATGATCTACATCAGAGACCTTATACCTGGTTAATGGTTCAAGATTTTTTTCCGAGGATTTTTTTTTTTTTAAACCATGTTGACAAGACTGGCACGTATTTTGTACATAGTTTTATTAGCAACGCCTATACAATATGATATAATATAGGTATATGATCTAAGAGAAACGCATACAAAAAATTATACCATCTACATCAAATACTATTAGTACTGTATACTATATTATATTTATTATATTTCTGTTATCCACGGTCTTGGAACGTTATCAGCGGTTATCAGTTAGATAATGCATGTTTGTCATGGTAAATGTTAAAAAAATGTGAATGGTAAGAAAGTAAAAAACATTGATGATATTATCTCAAACAGTCAAACTCACTTTAATAGTCACTAGTACACACAACACTGACTCAGTCAAAGTTTCAAACATACCGGTTGGTGATTGCTGAATCTCGAGTTCCCGATTTCCGTATCCCTGTGTCCTGTCAAACAATTCGAATTCGATCGTTATTCGTCAATTAATATATTAATTTGACCATGATGGCGTAATTTGATCATTGATTATTGAACGTTTATCTTTATTTTCAGTGCCTAGGTACATACTACATTTGTACTGTATAGGTACCTAGTCTAAGTTTAATGTTCTTCACAGGATTTTCTAAAGTCAATATGGCGTTGTAGATGGATGGTGTTTGGATTCTTCTGTTTTAACTTGTGGTAATTTTGTTTTGTAATTCATTTTCATTAACCCACCGTTAATCGCGTAATATTCATTATGTTTGCAATTATATACCTTGAATAAAACATAATATATATTTTACATTGCAATCATTGATACTCAATATACTTTTTACACATTTTATTAAAAATAATAAAATAATATTATAAATATATTTAATAATTTGGCTTCTAAGATTTTTTTTGAAAACTTCAATTGTTTACATTAGGCTCCATATAATCTATACATTTTTTATTTTAATTTTAAAATATCCATTTAATGTATAGGGTAGTACATTTTTATAACTAAAATTTTAAATTGTAAAAATATTGTGTAACAATTATTTGTTTTAACAAAATTAATAAAATATATGAAATAATGTTTTTATTATTGAAAAACATTACGGGGTCAAAAACACCTCAATGTGACTAAATATCAATACACTAGCGTAACTAATGGCGGGTTGAGATTAAGATGAATGTGTTACAAGTTGAGTGTTATAAATGAAATTTAATACAATATTTGATTAACATTATCGGAATAGTTAGTATAATACATTTTAAATTCTCATCAATTTGTTGTACTTAAGTGCAATTTTTTAAAGGTAACTTTTAAATATTATTACACATACGTAGTATTTATACATTTTTTTTTTTTTTTTTTAATTGATCCTTAAGCCCGGCAACTATGGCCATTAGCTGTTTGTAGGGTTGTATTGTGGTGGTGGTAGGATTTATAAATTATTGTTCATATTATAATAATTTGTTTATAAACATGGAGCTTCTCCAAGTATAGCAACCCCAATTTTTATCTTCAATAATGCAGTAATTCAAAATCTGTTTAATGAATTTTTAATTTTTAGTATTTAAAGACCATATTTTTGAATATTTGAGAATTTTTTCATATATGATTCGGTAATTGAAAATATATTAATTGTGACCCTATCCCCAATTATTATTTAAAATGAAAAATCCTACAAGCAAAAATATACAGTATAATATAACAATTTAAATAGTTAAGAGGATATTAGCTCATGAATCATGGATAAAACATATTCATGTAAAATCAATCTTTTATGATTTTTGAGTAATCTTAGCGTAAAATCAACTATTAGAATAATTATAGAGGATTATATTTTCGAGGGTTTGTCATATCGGTTGTATATTTTATTATTATTTGACTTAATATTGGACTTAAAAAATAATAAATACAATTTGTATATTTAAATGGCTATAGTAGAATAGCTCTGAAACAATATTTTAAATTAGATAAATTGTTATAGGTACCTAATAAAATATTACTCTATAATTTTTGTAATTTGTGATGTTATTCTAAGATTACTTAAAATTGATTTTTAATGAATATGTTTTAGTCTATGTTGTTTGTGGACTAGCGTGAGAAAACAAACAGTTATGGACATATTTTTAACAATTAATACAAATTAATAAAAAATAAATATTTTAAGGATCACAGTAATTGTATTATATTCCTTTGGTCAGGGGTTCTTACATTTTCTGTATTATGGAACCCTGTATCATTCACAATATTTGGTATAGCCACAAACCACCCCCTTGCCCCTCCAAAAATAAAAAAAATTATCATTTGTATAAAAAATAATATTTTAGTGTTCATTAAAAAAAAAAAATGTTTTTATAAGTATTAGTTGTAATAATTACTTTTACACTTTTTTATAAGACTAAATTCGAAGAAACATCAATACAAATTATAATAAAATCTATTCCGCAGACTACCGAGTAACTGCTAAAGAACCTTCGTACCTTAGGATGATTAATTATTTTATCTTAGAATCAAATATAATGTTTAAATATACAATATCTTGTATAATCAAATGATAATAAGTTATTAATTGCATAAAATGTTAGTTTAATTATATTTTGTGTTAAAGATTTCCTGTTCCTCAATTTGAATACTTCAAAAATGGACCAACCACCAAAGGTAAAATACTTATTAGTTTTTATTGGTTTACCTAGTATTCATTTTATACATTAAAAATTAAAACATTATTACTTAATATTAATTTGCAAAAATACTTGTTTTAAATCTGACCTTTGTTGAAGTAATATTCAAAATATTCAAAGTATTAATTTACTTTAGGTAATTAAAAAACTGCATGAAATGTATTTTTAGTCTATATTTAATAGTTACTCGTACAGTTCTCAATGATTATATAGAATAATTTCAACATTTAATTGTTTACAAAGATAAAAAGAAAAGTTGTTGTTTACCTACCTTACGATTCATGAAATAATCTTTAAGAACAATTTAAACATTTAAAATAATACCATATTATGAAGAATGTAGACAAATGTAATTTTTTTTTTTTGTTGATATATTAACAAAATATATGTTATTATTATGATTATGTCTTTAAAAATATTATAAAAAAAACTTAAATTTGATAAAATATGCAACACACATACAACTATGAATATAATAAACATATATTCACTCTTTACGTGTTTGGTTGTACACAATATCCTTAGTTTAGCATAAAATTAAATATAAATTTGTTTTTAAAACAGCATATCAATTTCATATTATTTTTTTTGTTCTTCAATTCCATACCATTTTGAAAACAATTTTATTTGAACATAGGTATAAAACAGTTTTTTGCATTATGAAAAATACAAATTAAAGAATTTGCCATGTTTAATTATAATTGATTATTGAACTATATTTTAAAGGATGCTTCAGAAATAGTTCCTCGAAAATATCAACTTGAGCTTTTAGAGGATTGTAAAAAAGGAAACACAATTTTATATCTTCCAACTGGAAGTGGCAAAACATATATAGCTACAATGCTTGTTAAAAGCATGGGCGATTGTTTAACTAAGTATGTATACAAACTATTTTTTTAAATGTTTCCAAGTAAGGCGGATTAATAAAATATTTGAAACCATTTTCAGACCAATGGGTCAAGGAAAAAAATGGACATTTTTTATTGTCCAATCTGTACCACTTGTTAGCCAACAAGCAGGTAATTTAAGAAGGCATTTGCCATGGAATATAGGAACATTTAGTGGTGATATGAATGTTGACTTTTGGTCTCAACAGCAATGGAATGAAATATTGGAGAAATGCCACGTGAGTATCATGATTATTGTGTGTGTGTACTAATTAAGAATTAGTGGCGGCACATGACAAATTTTATTGAGTAGTTAAGTGAGGCGAGTGTATTACGATTAAAAAATATTGAATGACAATGTTATATTTGTAAGACTATAGAAATAAATTCAAAATATTGCTATGATAATAAATATATGAAAAATTGTTTTAGAATTTAAGTTATTTGGTAATTTTGGGTAAATATTTTTATTTATAAAATGTTAACATTTTTATCCACTCGGATAAATTGTATTAATACAGTGGATCCTCGATAAGTCAAAATTCAAGGGAAATAAATTTGTTTGACTTGTATAGGCTTTTGACTTACTAATGTTGGGGGGTTGGTTAGGTTAGATTAGGCAAGATAACAGAATTTATTTTGACTTGTGAAGATTTTCAACTTATCAATAATCCACTGTACTAATGTACATTTTTTACCCATCTTAAATACATCATTTAAATGTAAATAATATTTTATTATATTAATCATGAATTTGATTTTTCAATCTTATGCATATTGTCAGTGGCGTATTTAGCGGCAATTGTCCTGAACACCAATTTTGAGTCCTATAAGGGGGCGCTGGATAGGTTAGGTGGTGCCTGAGGTTTAAAGTACCTAATACCATTGATTATGAATACTAAATGCTAATACTAATGATAAATGTTGTTTTTAGTAATTAATTAGTATGCATTAATTATTTTATAATTTAACTTATAATAATAAATAAAGCCAGTGTCAAAAGTAAAATTTTGGCTATAAACTATACTCTATTCACAATGAGATCATTACTCGGCGGCGACCAGTTTTTGTCGGGCGGCTGTCAGACATATGGTGAGACACCGCCCCCACTTTGGCAACGCGTCGGGCGCTGCTATGAAACAAAGCCACGCCCAAGCTCACAACTAGGCCGCCGAGTAATGATCTCATTGTGAATAGAGTATAGTAACGTCTCAAAGATAACTGCAAAAAAGGTTTATTTGAGTTACAGCTTGGATTTTTTATATGTTATATCTAAGTTTTTTGAGTTATATGTTGCCTGATTAATAATTAACATTTTAAGATGTGTCTAAGGTCTATCATACATTCATATTTCATCCCTATAACATTATTGTTGTCCATTTAATAACAACTACAGGCAACAATTATGATATAAATTTATAACTTATTGTCATATAATCAGTCTTGTAAAGTACTTAGAATAGGCGTAGGGTGATCAAATATATTGGAAGAGCTGCAAAAACAATTAATATTTAATAATAATAATAAAAAAAAACACTACTATAAACTACATGAAACACAAATAACTCTGGGGGGGGGCTAATATTCACAAGCCCCCCTAGCTACACCTATGGTACTTAGTAAAAGTATTCAAATACATATTTTAAATATTTTTGAAAAATTCCATAGACAAAGACACAAAGTATATTATAAATACTTTCTTAAAATATCTACTCGTTATTAAAAATTAAATAATAACTTTCATATTTTCTTTAGTTTATTTCAGGGCTTAAAACCGCTTCCAAAAGAAAAGCAATTCAAAATTTTTGAAAACCAGTTATTGGTTACCGCTTTATATTGATATTATGATAACCGGTAATCGTTTGTTCTAAAATATCTTAAACATAATGGATTACCATTAATCGTTAATAACCGTTTATAGTTTTATAGTTTTTTTTTGGGAATCGGTTACTGGTTAAAACCGGTTTTAGGTAATTATAATTTTTTATGTGACACTGATAGTAAATTTTATCTACTTGAGACATCTTGAGTCCCTATAGTTATTACCATGGTTGAGATTTTATAGAACTTAAAATTCCTTCTTAAAAATATTTTCTATAAATTATAATATTATCTTAAATATCGCTAAATATAAAAAGTGTTTTCACGAAGGTCCCGAGAGCAAACAGTTAATAAAAATTATTTTGGCAATAATTTTACCTAAAATAGTTGGGAAATATAATTAATTAAAACTTAAATATATATATTTCAAATATTAAATACAGATACCAAAAACCGTTAATTATTTTGGGATCAAACTGGGTTTAAAAATAAAAGTTAACTACTTTGATGTTAGTACTTAAATAATTATCTCGATAACCGGTAACCAATAACCTCTTCCATCATACTAAAATAAAATCAGTTTTCGGTTCTCAAATTATCGGTTTTTTACCGGTTTTTGTTAAGACTGCTTACCTATTTTAAGCCATGGTTTATTTTTTATTTTTATTTTAATCATATAAAATGCAAAATAAATTAATTTAGAATTTATAATAAAATATTTTTAAACTACTTTCACCCTAACATTCATGAACTTTTATAAAAAAACTAGATGAGTTTATACTATTTAATAGTTACACCAAATGATATGATGTAAAATGCTCTATAAAATTAACATAAAACACGAAAATCAATTCAGACAATTTATAAGGTAAAAAATATATTTATAAAAACTCTGAAAGTATTTGATAATAGCTACAAATACTTGTTTTACTGAGTATCCAAATACTTATTTCAAATGCTTTTCAAGTATCTGTACTTAAATACTTTTAAAAAGTATCTTTTACATGACTCCTAATATAGAAATTAGAAATGTTTTATTGCTCATCATTATTTTATTATCTATCATGTATTCATATTGTATTATGACTATATATCGTTGACTGTTTAAAATGGCAGTTACGAATTAAAAAATTAGAAATTATAAAAAAAATATGAAACAAACTTTTACCAGTGAAATAATATTATTTTTTTTAAAAAAAATATTACAACCATTTAAAATAAAAACTATAAAACAACAATTTTAACTAATAACCCACGTTTAGTTATAATGCTAGTCTGTGTTAAAATAGGAAGGAAAATAAATGTCTGTAAATTATATTTTATTTGTTTACCTATGTGCCTTGGTGCAAGAAGGGCCAATGTCAAAAATGGAACAGTGCTGAGAAATTGAATTTCAAAATATGACAATTTTTTAAAGAAATTTTAAAAATTATGGGTTTAATCTGAAATTGGCCAAAAACTAACATTTTAAATAAACAAATTTTAATAATTTTACTAAACAGTATAACTTTTTATTTAATACCTAGTATTAATATTTAATATTTCAATTGCATATAAATCATAATGTTTGTTACTTATATCTTATTAATAAAGTTTATTAATTGATTTTGAAATGGCCAATGCCGTGTATATAGATAATACGTCGAGATAGGCCCATAATATCGACTGATATACTTCTATTGATTATTGTCAAAGTGGCCAATGTCAATTCTAATTTGGTCATAGTGCATCATTGACTGTTTTAACACAAATAACATAAGCAAATTTTAATGACATTTGTCAAATAATCCCAGATTCTTTCAAATGTGACAAATTGGACTTTCTTGCCACATTAATTTTTTAATTTTTAATTTGTATGAATCTAAAAAATGACATTGGCTGCAGTTTGAATGTAGGTAGTATTATGTACTCTAAAAAAACATGAAGAGTAATTCAAAAGGGATATTATTACCTTGGGATGCAAGCATAGTATCCCAAATTGTTGAAGGGATTAAGTTTTATAAACAAATTTATAAGACTTGTTTTGGAGTGTTAAGATGATTTTATAAATTATTGGGAGTTCATTTTTGGTATTGTGGTAGACTACGCACTTAGCACTTTATAATTACAGTAAAACTCGCTTAAGACGCTCTTTAAGGGACCAGCTCTCTAGAGCGTTTTAAGCGGGAAAGCGTCTTATGCGGGAATGAAATATGGATATAGATGATATAGGGACCGACGGCAAATAGCGTCTTATGCGGGAAAGCGTCTTAAGCGAGTTTTACTGTATGTCTATATGTACATTGTTCGTATTATGTTGTTCAATATTAATTTAAATGCCAAATAGGGTGCTATATGTCTCTTTACCTGGAGCACCATATTCCTAAATACGCCACTGAATATTGTTTGGTGTATTCTTGATTTTGAACTTTAAGGTTTTTAGTAAGTAGTAAAACAAGTTAATTTATTATCTTACACAAGATTGGGTTGGTCAATTTTACCATATAGTTTTATTAGCATTACTATTTTTTAAGTATAATATATAAGTAGGTTTTATTTTATTTGTTTTATATTTATTTTTTTAGATTCTGGTTATGACTGCTCAAATTTATTTGAATAATCTGCGTCATGGCTACATGCATATTAAGGATGCTAATCTTCTTATTTTTGATGAATGCCATCATGCTGTAGCATTACATCCATTTAAACAAGTTAGTTACATTTGAGGTTCCTTAATATACTATGAAAACTTAAATTCTAGGTGTTGAACTGTGCACTTAGCTTGTGTTTAAAAGTTGTTAAAATTATTAAATTTATTTTAGATTCTGAACAGAGGTAACAGAGTTCAACAGTTGAATGTATTGATTTTACAATAGTATATTGTCTTTATTTGATTTAATTTTTTTTTTTTTTTGGACTGTCATCTTTTTTGGGGGCAGTAAAATGCTTTCATTTTTACTTCATCATCTTTTCTGGTATGAAAGTGAATGGAGTGGTACTTTTTTGAAGGGGAAAAAATGGGAAATTTTGTGCAAAGCCAGTTTTCAGTTATTACATATTTAAATGAGGTTATAACATTTGACATTCTAAAATGTACGACAATTAGACAATAACTGACTTACCAAGAATAATACCTTTTAAGAGGATGTGATACCTGCATGTGTTGTCATACAAGTGCATAACATAGCAAATTTTAAGCTCAGAAAAACACATGTAGCTCTGTCAATTTAAAAATTAGAGTAAATTAACCTCTTATAAAATCTAAAGGTAAGACAACCTCATGGGCTTTTTATAATATTTTAATTTTTAAGCTAGTTATGAGTACTTAAAGCTCTATAAACAATTTCCAATTTTAAAATACTCATAGCTAGCTTAAAAATTAAAATATAATAAAAAGCCCATGAGGTTGTCTAGAAAATAATCTTACCTTTAGATTTTATAAGAAGTCAATTCACTCTAATTTTTAAACTAACGGAGCTACACGTGTTCTGATTTGTGTAGAATTTGCTATGTTACGCACTTGTAAGACGGAGACAACACATGCGAGTATCACGTCATCTTAAGAATAATGCCTATTCTTTATCTAATCTACAATTACGATTATGCAAAACGAAAAAATACATTTACGAGTTATTAAAAGACCAATCTTTTTTTTCTTATCTGGTTGATTGACATTTGGATAATCTGGGTACTACTGTACTTTAAATTTTCATAAACGTTTATAAGACCATTTCCTAAGATTACTGAGTTTGAGCTATTTATAGGTATTTTTTTTTAGTTTTTTCTTTTTTTGTCAATAAATAATTTTTAGCTTGGTAAAATGAAATTTTTATTTATGTTAGACATATTAACCAGAAGATTAACAATTTCCTTATTTTGTTGTAATTCAAAAATGAATAACTGTAGGTACATGCAATTTTCAACAAGTGTTTATTTTATCGATTCCAATACGTGATACGATTTTCAAAATATTTTGAGTTATTAATACATTTGAAAAAAAAAATTTTTTTTTTTTTGCGTGGTTATTAACATGAAAATATACAAGGTTCCTCTTTAGTTTTTTTAATATCAGTTCAAAAATATTAACAAAATTCATCAAAACCTATTTTCAATTTTGTATTTAAAAATTAAAATGTTTAATTTTTATATTTATTATGGATTTTAAATTTAAAACAAGGTTTCTCATAAGTAGTTCATGTACTGTACCAAAACAAAAATGATTTTGAGTAAAAATCTCCTTTTTACTTTCATTATTTGGTTTTTTGTTATTCTTGACGCTTTTGAAACTTACGGGGAATTTTGATCTTTTGAATGCACCAATTAAATTCACTTTTCTACCATAAATGATACTGAAGTTGAAAATAAAAGCATTGTTTCAAATACACATTGTGTACATAGTTATAAAATTATGGTTAAATATTCAATGTTTATTTAAAGTACTAGCTGAACTCGTGCACTTTGTTGCCTGTAAAAATAACAACTCTAAAAAAATTATTATTGCTTAACTACTTTTGGGTATAACTTGCTGCAGTAAGTGTAACTCAGCCACCCTGGTAAGCAAACCGACTATGTTGGATCGTGGACAAAGGCAACTCAGCCTCCTTGATAAGCAATGGGAAAAAATTAATTTTGATATAAGATTGATTTGCCTGATTAATCAATGGCAACCAATAAAATAATAAATACTAATTTTTACTAATTATTTCTCCTATGACCAAAATCAACCATTTATAAACAAAAATGTCCATCGTAAATCCCAAAATCCATGTTTGAGCACCTCCTTGGGTTGGACCAGGTCCAATAGTGAATCTTGATTATCCCGTAAACCACTAAACCTACACAAAAAGTTTCATCAAAATCGGTCTTGCCGTTTAGGAATGCATTAAGGACAGACAGAAAAATATCCATTTTTATATAATATACAAAGTGTAACAGAAAGAGTGTTGTTTATTTACTGCTATATAACATCTTAAGAGATATAAAGGATTATGTATAATCAATTTATCATTCTGACAATCAAAATAGGCAAGTCATAAATAAAACGTTTTTGTCTAAAAAATCTCCTTTTCTAAAGTGTCAGGTTTTCTTAAGTTCAGCAGATAGAAAGTATACAACAGATTGTGCTATACGAACTTTTCATACGAGAGCATTGTGATTATAACTTATGGTCCGTAAGTCACGGATATACTCTGAAACGAGTCCATTAAAAGGGGTTTAAAAAATACCTATGATTAAATGAACAATACACTATATTTAATATTAAATTATTATATTTGATAAATATATAAAAAATGATGCTACTTAAACGTATGACAACATTTGTCAAAATTATATGATTAGAAAATAATTTAAGAAATATACTCATGTCAGGAAATTCCCAAAAAAAAATATTTTGAAAAAGTTATTATGTTCAAAATTCATTTAATCAAAAAAATATTGATATTTTAAAAAATAAACAACTTGGCTTATAAATGTTTTTAGTATCAAAATTGTTCTTATAATCAGATTCACAAATTGGCTATTTTGAATATATCCGAAAAAATTTAAATCAAATTTAATTTTTTTTATTTTCAGTGTTAAAAATAAAAATAATTTTTTGCATAATATATGTATAGTGGAAGTGATTATAAATTATATATAAAAAAATAATTTTAAATATTGATTATAGAACAAAAGTTATTCCAAAAGTCAGTTCTATCTGTTACACTTTGTTAATTGGTTACTTTCAAAAAATAAAGTTGCATATTATAATGATAAAAATTTCAATTTTAATCAAGAATGCATGGTTATGGATTCGTAAAATAAAATATTCTAAATTGATAAATCCTATTATTTTGAAATAAATATTTAATAGAACTTGGAAAATGTATATGAAAATGCATCTATTTGCATTTATTGCAATCTATGTTATTTTTTTTTGTACAAGTTATGAAGAATGTTTTAATATTTTAATATTTTACATTTTGTTCAATACAATTTAAATATATAATTTTACAAAGTTTATAATACGTTTTTATTAAATATGTTTGATACAAACTTGTTCACAATTTAAATTATGTGCCGGAATTTGTAGTAAAATCTATAATCACGATGTAATATTTTATTTATGTTTTTTCTCTGAGCTACATTGCACTTATTGAAATGACCATTGTTGTTCCCAGTTATAAATAAAACAAAAATAATCAAATCAAAAAATATTTTTGTTTTTATTGTTTATCTTTTATACAAATCAGATAATGCAAGTACTTCACGATACCGATTTAAAAACTGATGAACGTCCCCGTATTCTTGGACTCACTGCTACTTTGATCAACGCAAATACCAAAAATGTCAGAGATGAGTTAACTAAATTGCAAATAACATTTAGTGCCACTATAAAGACTAGAAATGATGATAATATCCAACTGTAATTATCGAAAATAAAGTTAGTAATTTGATACTATTAATTAATAACAATGATGTCAGTTTTTCAGCACGTCCAAAAGAATATATAAGGTTATATGATGAGTATATTTTGGATGATGGAATTAAAACTATTGTTGAAAGAATAAAAACAAATACTTGTTATATGAGAAAAATTCAGGCTCCTGTCAAAATTGAACCAATTAAAGAAAATAATGAAACTTATTATTTGGAGAATAATAAACAAGCTTCAAAGAATTTTGCCAATTATTTTCTTGACATAGAGGTGAATTTTTAGTTATTTTCTTTAGAAATTATGAATAAATTTTTTTTTTTTGTTTTAGGCAAATCTTGTTGATGGAGGAGCGTACATCGCGTATTTAGTTACATGGCATTTTATGGTCGAAATAGAAAAGAAAAGAAAAATATGTACAGATGTAAAAAGACTCACTATTATGTCTTTGGTATTATCAGAATTAACTATAACTCGTAAAATGTTGTATGACTACATGAATATACACACATTTATTTACAAAGGTCGTTCAACTACATTACTCAATACATCTCCTAAACTGAAAAAATTAATTGACATTTTATCCTCAATTAAAATTACTGACACTTGTTTAGTATTTGTTGATCGCCGAACAACTGCTAAAATTTTATATCATTACATTAAGGTATATAATATCAATTAAATTACATAAAAAAAAAATATAATAAACTATTATTTATTATAATTATTAATTAGTGGATTTTTATTCTTATTATTTGTTTATATAACAGGATTATATTGATGAATTTAATCAAGTAAATATTGTATGCGAGTTTATAGTTGGTGCAAGAGGAATATTTAGTCCTGACTGCAAAGAAATGGTGTATAAAAAACAACAAAATAATGACATTATTAAGAAGTATTTTATTGTTAATATATTACTTTACACTTATTACTCAAACTAAATAATAATTCATAATTGTTTTATTTTTTTGTAGGTTTAACGATAACGTTATTAATGTTCTCATAACATCAGAAGTACTGGAAGAAGGTGTTGATATTCAAACTTGCAATTATGTCATTAGATATGATTCTCCTAAAAATTTTCCTTCTTATATACAATCTAAAGGAAGAGCTCGTTCTACTGATAGTAAATTTATTTTAATGGTGCCAAATCAGATGAAATTTCAAAAAACTCAAAATGAATATAATAAAATGGAAGAAGAAATTGTTAAAGTATCCTTTGCTTCAAATTTCCTAAGAGTTGCCCATTTTAGAAATATATAAAACATAACTAATATTTTTTTCAGCTATTGGTAGAAAATGACATTGATGATGAAAATAATGATGAAAATATGACAGAAGTTTTTAATACTAAGACTAAACGTGCAGTATTAACTCATGAAGTTGCTATAAGTATTATTAATAGGTACCTAATGTTAGAACATATTTAGTTTTCTTAGATAGTTATAAATAGGGTCTGAATTTGTATGCTTAAAATAAAAAATACTATGTAAATATGCTACACCCGTTAAACAATAGTCAGTAGTTCCTCTGTTTAAAATTATAAATCAAAACACTTTATAATTATCTATTAACACGTTCACTTCATATCATATTCTTGTATACTTGTCGTGACGCTGATAAAATTCTAGTTTTAAAAAAAAATTTTCTAAAAATTGAAAAATTAAAATATCAGTGTACGGTTTGCACTTGATTATGAAACAATGCTTATAGAAGATACTGACAAAAAATCAAAAGTTTAATCGTAACACTGACCAAATTATAGTCCATTAAATAACAAGGTATATGACGCCAATTGGCGTTTTACGCAGCGAACGTGTTAAGGAAAGCCCTACTATTAATGAAGATATAGATAAACGATATATTTGATTTCATCTGGAATCACATGGATTATCACCATTATCAAAATCAATTCAAACCACTATAATATACACAATTTGCTATTCCTAATAGATTTAAAAGTTTATGACAACCCCCCCCCCATCCAATATTCATAAAATCTAAAAAAAGATTAAGTAAAAAACGTTGGGAATCACTGATTTAGAACCTGCTCTAAACTTCTAAGATATATTCGAACCAAACATTTATGCTATACTAAAATTAAAATAGTAAAATAGAAGCACCTTAAATCGACAAACATCTCAATGTATAAAGTGCCAAAACTATGGCTACACCAGAATAAACTGACAACAATCCCACATGCATCTGTTATAGTAAAAACCACCAAAATAACACCAGGAACCCTGAAAACATCAGCCACATACCAAAAATTATTAAAAAAAACACAAAAAAAATTATAGATAATTCAAATACCATTGGATTGTCAACCTACCGTTCATAGTACCTCACAGCCCACACTCAAATAATTCAAATGACAGCCAAACTTATTCATAAGCTACAAAATTAAACATAAACTAGGCTCACACTAATCATAATGTTATCCATAAAAACACAACAATAACATTGTATCCTAAATTACCTCCTTCCTAAACAAATTTAAAATTCTTATAAACCTCACATTTAATTTTTTTTAACCACATCCATCTATGGAAAAATATTACTAAAAAATATCAATTAATATGGAAGCTAATTCTTTCTTATAAAATAAAATACTAAACTAAGTTGTTAAATGTGTATCATAATAATTAGATACTTATTTAATTGGACTAACTTAAAATGATTTTCAAAACAAATTCATCCAAGTATATTATATTTGTAGGGCTAGAATTTATATGGAATGGTATGAATTTATTGCCATGCCATTCTAAAAATTTGGTTATTAATGTCCAGAAGTCACCAGAATATTAATACAAAAAGTTTATTTTTTGTTTTGCATTCTTAAAAATAATAAATATTATATATTTTAACTTATACACGAAAATCCATATTTTATTTATATTTAAACAAAAGAAGGGTAAAAGCCTTTTACTAAAAGGTTAGATTCCACATCATATTAAGCTCCTAATTTCAATTTTATTAAACTAGTGATTTTGGCTCTGACGAAAAATTGTAAGAATGCTATTGATTTATTTAAAAGTAACCAAACAAAAATGATTTAGCTTATAATATACAAATTAACATTATTTCATTTATTTTAAATGGTTAAGATGCTCCTCTGTTACTTAACGATATTTTTGAAATTATTGTTAATTTCATTGTTTATTATTATTTAATCATATTTTTATAGCATATACAAAATGAAATGCATATTTTAGTATTTTTTATTGCATATAAATTCTAGTCCTAATAATTATTAAAAAAAAAAAGTTTATAGGCTGTAGGTCAGAAAAGTAAAAATTAATAATAATAATTGATATTAAAATTTCATTTTTCACTATATCAAACTGCATATACTCTAAAAATACACTGACAAAACATAAAAATTCGGACTTAAATATAGGTTGTATATAAAGATAAATATTATTAATTTATAATTTTATGGCATGATTCGTAGGTACTGTTATTCCTTACCTCAAGATCGATTCACGGATTTGAGTCCAGAATGGTATATGGCACAAAATAATAATAAGTTCAAAAAATACAAACTAAAACTGCCTATTAATGGTGTTATTAAGACTCCTATTGATGTAATAGTTTATTTTTTTTATAAATTATTAAAGTTTGGCATTATAATTTATCTTCTGTTTATTGTTTTTTTTTCAGGGAATATTTTGTGCAAATAAAAAAAATGCTAAAAAAAGTGCAGCATTTAACGCATGCATTGAACTATATAAGATTGGAGCATTGGATGAATATCTGTTGCCTATAAATATTAAAAATACTGCGATATTTAATGATTTAAAATGGTTTCCACATTGGGATGAAGAAGATATTGAAGCAAGTAAATATAAATTAAAACCGGGAACTAATAAAATGAAGAGAATGGTGCATATTGAAGTATGTTGTATTTAATTATTTATATTTTAGTTTATTATGCTTATGTTTACTTAGTAAAATTACAAACATTTTAAATAGAGTCCAACATACTTACACGGATCTTATCCACAAGTAAATCAATCATCATATTTACATGTTCTTCACTGTGTTCCTGATTACATCAACTTGGAAGAATATAAATACGAAACATTTGATAAATTATTAAGGTCAAATGAAGAATTTGGAATTTTAACATCAAATAAACTACCACAAGTAAGTAACCAACTTATTTTTATTTTGTAGAAGTAAACTGAATACTTATAAACCAATATAATTAGCAACTAAAATATTATGAAACATTTGACTTATTTTGTCCAAGTAAAAGCAGTATTTTTTTACATTTACTACTTGAACACACAAAACTAGCAAATTTCTTTTAAATATTATGTATTATATATATTTTATGTATTTTATGTACACTATGATGTTATTTCAAACAATATACACGCTGACTTTCCCTGAAGTAAAGCAAAGTAAGGCTAGTATTTTTATACATAGCAACATCAATTTTTGTATTGTAGTGTATACAATATATATTTTGAATTTCTGACGTATTTAAAGTATAGATGAGTAGTGTATAAATGTAATAATATGGAGTAACCCTGTGCATTCCATTTCTTTCTCCTAAACTCAGTAGCGAGGAGTGAGGTTTTTGGTTGCGGAGACACTGAAAAAAATGACACTAATACGCCTAAACCTCCCCCCTTTTTATTTTATCTATACAGTAAGAAATAAATGTTCAAAATCTTAAAACAAACTGAAATATTATATTTAAAAAATTAAAAACGTTTCAACTTCCTTTAAATGATAATTTAATATAATAACAAATGTACAAATTTTTTTTTGTATAAGTAGTTAATAATTACATCTTTAAAATGGCATTAATTAAATCATCAGCCATGGCCCATAAGGACAATTTACAATATAAAACAATAAATATTAAGAAACACGTACGACGTACCTATCACAAAAGCATGACAATGTGACGGCGACGTCGATAATAAATATAGAGGACTGGGGTAATTACGAACGGCGTAGATAGTAAACCCCACTCACATTAGCATACCCCAGTACCTGTTTGCCCATAATTTTGAGACGTTTCAACGCAATGTCTATTAGATATAATACCATATTTGCAATGACCCGTATGGCCGTATCCTTCTCATACGCACGGCTGTATTGCGCAAATCTTATCTATTTTAAGAATTATATTATATCTGTACAACGAAAAAATGATTTTAACAAATATTGAAACATACATCATTTTTATAATATAAAATTAAATTCACATTTCTAAATATTTTATAAAACAAAATAATTATTTATTCGTCCCATGTTTTAATTTTTAAGTGGGGAGACGACTCTTTGTCTCCTATAACACTTCGCCACTGCCAAAACTTAGTAATGTAATGGTAATTATCCTTGCCTATCATGAGGGAGACTTGGGTTTGATTCTCTGATTAGTTAATTTGACACTTACTGTAATGACATCGGTAAATATTTTTGTTATATGAGAGGTTTGGATAAGACATGGACACATAAAGAAATATGTATTAATGTAAATAATACTCTAGTCACTAATGGCCGGTGGTTGGCGGCTGCTTCATTTATGTTGTATGTATTATTATTGGGAGCTTCGATAACATCTAAGCCATGTTGTTTATCTAAGATGTGTGTAAAATAGAACACACCATTACAAATATTTGCTGCTTTAGTCTGAGTATAATAGGCACTTGTTGCTTGAAAACAAACATCTAAATAGGAATTTAAGGACACTTAAAAATCTTTCAATCTGATTCCTTGTACTACAATGTGCTTTTGTTGTAATCACATTTACAACTGAAGTCATTAGATTATACATAATAGTTGTAACATGTATCACAAATCTACTAATAAACAAAATTTGCCAATACGTTGTTCATAAAGGTGCTTCATTTCATGGCATACATAAGAGGAATTGAAAATAAGTTGATTATGAACACTGCCGGGGAAACATAACATATGTATTTGAAATGTCTAGTTGCTTATTCCAAATCATTTGCATATTTTTCGAGTGATCCTCGATGTTTGAAATAGACTTTTTCTTTTTACCAAGGACATGTTATTGCTAACTTTGCATACAGAAGAAAATTATTTGAGGCCACTTGTCTCTGTCGAGTTGTTTTAGGAAATATAAATACCTTATTAAAATATTCAATAGTTATTAAATCTATCACCTGACTATTGCATCTACTAAGACTTGGTTGAGTCATTGTGATTTTAAAATGTTGGCTGAATTTTTATTTGATGCAAGCCATATCTATAAAAAGTTACCAGAACCAGAAATTTGATTTATGCATTTATATTTAAAATTTAAAACTAAAGGCTAATGTCTTATGAATTCCAATATAAAATCAAGTATTGTATTTGTAAAAGAGATAGGTAATTGGATACCATTTAAAAACGTTCAAGGCTAAGTCCAAATTAATGAGACTGTATAAGTCATATTTTATAGGTAATTATACGTGTCTATTTATGGCTGCATCCGAATTGCGTGCAGAAAAAAAGAACTATGTTTGACAACAACCGAATTGCGTGCGCGGTTTTTTCGAGACACAGCCGAATTGCGTGCGTGGTTTCTTCATGACAGAGCTGAATTGGGTGCGCATATTTTATTTAAAGTCAACCGGTTTTCACCGAGCTGGATGTGTCGGCCGGAGAATCATTTATCTGTATTTAATATGATAGCTATATATGGGTATTATCATTGATTATAAATACTAGTATGTACTAGTAGTACTATGTAGGGAATGGGACTTTTCGGTAATAAGATATAAGCTGATAATTTTATAAATAATATTAAACGATCTATATTCTATATGAAATTGGAATTGAATATCAGTTGATAGTCAACACTCAATCGCGACCAAAATGGAAGTGAATCAAATGTTAAGCGAAAAAAATTAAAAATTATATATAATTAACGGGTATAAATTTCATTTTCAAAAATTTTTAAATAACAACATACAGAGATGGGCATGTACTAAACATTTGTGTAAATCTTTTTTTAAGCTAAGTGAAAATGGTGATATAATTTTATTGTATTATCACTTGAATTAATATTGTTTTAATAATTTGTATTCGAAGAGTAAATGTATTCTTTAATTATTTAGTGTAAATAAATCTGGCACACCGTGCGGCATCAACACTGTATCTCGCACGCAACTCTGCTCTGTCACAAAAAAACCGCGCACGCAACTCAACCCTGTTATGAAAAAACCACGCACGCAATTCGACCCAGAAAACGATTTTCGCACGCAACTCGGAACCACCGCTATTTATTTATCAATTATATATAACAAAATATAAAATAATTCTCAGCAAAAATGGGCAGTCAGCGTAAATTCCAAATTATACTTTATTATTTATAAAATAAATAAATAATAATTATTATTTTTGTAAGACTTTTTGGTAACCATGGTTCACAAACAATTATATAGTAATATTAAAATGAAATCGTAATCAAGGTTACCAAAAAACTTTTTTAAAAATAAAATAAATTTTTTTTCTCAATTTATTTTAAAACAATTGGGATATCAATTCTACTTTTTATTAAAGATCTAATTTGCTACCAGAACCTTTTTACACACCTAATTCTACCTACCCATATTTTATTCTTATAACTTATTATTTAATACTTATTTTTATAATTTTTCACCTAAAGGTTTACTGAAAACGCACTAGATCTATGACTTAGGTAAAACTGTGATTCATATATCCTGAACAATACATTTTGATATTCCAAATCAGTATTTTCAAACCTTTTTGTTATGATAACCCACAATTACTCTGTTGGGTACGCGAACCCCCACTAAAAAAAAAAATGTCATGTACCTATGCATAATATAATTTATTAAGTATAATCAATTTTTTATAATTAATTTTTTTATGGCTCCTGATTAAAAAAAAATTGCCAAAATCACTTTACTAATTTACTATTATATAAAAATGTATCTACTGAAAATGAGCTCCCAAAAACGTTGAGCCCGAGAGCGTAAAATGTCTAATTAAGGCCTATTATACTTTCACAGTATACTTATACGTAAGTATAATTAATGATGTATAAAATAATAAATATCAAAACAATTTTTAATTAATTTATGGTTAAAATAATTTTTCTTATTAATTTACAACCTCGCAACCCATCAAAAATATTTCGTAAAATCATAGGTCACACTGTGGGAAACACTGGTCTAAATAACTCAAATCATCTTCAATTTCAAAAGGATTCTAATTATATCTGAGCATTCTAGAAATTAAAATTATACTCTATAGTTAATGTTGGATAATTTTCTTTTTTAGAAATGCAATGTATGACTTAAAATTATTAAAAAGTTAATTTTTAAATTTATTAATAAAAACAAATTTAAAAAAACATTCAACAACCTCCCATTATCATAACTTATTTTGAGTGCTACTGCCTTAATGTATTTTGTTGATTAAAACATCTTAACGACCCTTCAGTTAGGGTCTTAAAAAGGTGCTCTGCTGTACAGTAGGTTACAAGTGGGTCACTGTATAATGGATGGTATTAAATTTGAATTCAATGATATACTATCATTGTATAAGAAAAACGATTCTGAGCAGAGACGGTAGTCAGTATAGATTTAAGACACATTATATACATATCTATGGTATTAAAAAAAAATTGACCTATAATATACCTACAAAATTATTTTATATTTTATTTTATGTTTTTAATTTTTTAAATGCCGTCTGCATCTAGTGCCGGTGATTTTACTCGTAAAATAATAAAATTGATACTAGTGATGGGTACCCGATTGTTGTTTAGTTAAATTATTTACACGATTTCAATAAAAAAAAGGTGGGCAAGTGGGTGTCGCTCTGCTGTACAGTAGGTTACAAGTGGGTCACTGTATAATGGATGGTATTAAATTTGAATTCAATGATATAATATCATTGTATAAGAAAAACGATTCTGAGCGGTGACGGTATGTCAGTCTATGTATCAGACATATTATATACATATTTATGGTATTAAACAAAAAATTGACCTATAATAGGTACCTATAATAAATTCCAAATTAATCATATCACTATATCCATTAGGTACTTATAACGCATTATACATCAACAACAAACCCTGATACTATCATAGATATGTAATTGTACACTTTAGAAGTTTCAAGTACCCACAAATAATATTATTTAATCATAACAAAATAAGTAAAATAGTTATTCTAGGATTTTTAAAATGTAATTTTGTCCAAATTTGAACTTAAAATGACTATAAAAATAAACTGCTTGTGTATTTTTTAAATTTTCAATCTTTAGGTATAAAAGTTGAACATTTTATAAATTTTTAACTACAAAATAATAATAATTTAATTTTAAATTTGATAAATTTTATCAAAATTTTATCTTTAAATGCTTATAAAAAAAAAATTGTGTTAATATTTTTCAAATGCTATTGTAACAATATATCGTGAGCCTTGTATTCAATTTTTACACTTTTTTTGCCCGACAGATAAAACTTGATTGATATTTATAGAAAAAAAATAAAAAAATTGAAAACTGACAATGCCCGTAAACAGCTCAAAAAGAGTTAAAATATTTTGAAAATTTTATCAAGTATAAGAATTGATAAAATAAACATTCAGTGATATTTGCATATATCTAGAGTCATTTGTTTTTGAATTATATCAAAATAACAAAATCGTTACATGAGAAATCGATTGAATAACAAATTTTGTAAAAATATGAATTTAAAATGCACAAAAAATTTAATTTCACTTTCCGGTAGACATTTTTTTTGTGATAAAGGTAGACAAATTTATGGAAAACCTTGTATAACATTTTCAAATCTTTGATTTAAAAAGAAAAATGTTTATGAAGTTGTAACTAAAAATAATTTGCAAGATTTCGTGATTTTTCCGTATTTTGTAAATGTTTTAATTTTAAATGCTTATAAAAAAAAACTGTGACTAAGGATTTTTAATATATTTCAGACGTCATTGTAACAACATAATAGGAGATTTGTATTAAATTTTCAAGCTTTTTTACCTAACAAATAAAGTTTTATTGACATTCATAGAAAAAAAACCTAAAAAAGTTGGAAACTTAGTATATCCGTAAACAGCTCAAAACAAGTCAAAATTTTTTCATGTATAGAAAAGGCTAATATAAACATTCAGTGAAAATTGCATGTATTAGAGTTACACCACAAGCCAAAGTCGATTTTATCAAAAACCGATTTTGCTTAAAAATTCCCGTTTTTTCTTAATTTTTATGTTGTTTTTCCCTGCGCTTGTGAAAACTTTTGGGAATTTTAAAATTTAACCTCCCGATAGCACCAACTAGATTGACTTTCCCATCGAACAAGATACTGTTGAAAAAAATTGAAGCAGTGTAACGGCCCTAAACCGTGATGCAGACACATAAAAGTAAAAAAAAATAAAATCATTGTAAAATCATTAATCAATACATTCATGTTCCACTTAGAATCTAAAAAAAACACACATCATTGTAAAATCAATACATTCATGGTTCCACTCAAAATCTAAAAAAAAATAATAATCACAGTGTTTAATGTTAAATGACTATAGAATAACTAGCGAATACAGTTTCTGATTACAAGTGATTAACATAAAATACTGTTATCACGATTAAAGATATCTTTAATAATATGTTATTAAATTATAGAGAATGCCACTGCAGGTATATATATATTTATACATTTTTACCTCACTTTGCTCAGAATTTAAAATCCAAAATACATGAAAATCTATTCCCCAATAATCATTATTATTTAAACTAATTTTTTCAATAACCAATGTTCTTTATACACTTATACAGGTATCAAATTTTCCTATATTTTTACCTTTTGGTAATGTGAATGTTAGCATAGAAGTAAATGTTGAAATATTGTATCTTGACCACAAAAGTCATAAGCAACTAGAAAATTTCCATAACAAATTATTTGTGGATGTGTTGGGTGTAAAAGATTTTATTGCAAGAAGTTATGACAATGGAGATAATTCATATTTAGTAGTACCTATTTTTTCTGAAGGTTTGATTTTCGATATATACTATATTATATAACATATATATATACAGAATGACCTGACAAATAAAATAACTTTTGATCTAATCGATATTTAAAAAATGTTTGTAAATATAACTTACGCTTGAGCCATAAGTGTAGCATACATTTTTTTGTTTATTTTTTAATACGGAGAATTTTAAATTTCAAAATGTATTAAATTTTTATGGAAAATCTAATTTTTAGAAAAATTTTGATTATATAATTAAATCAAGTAGTTAATTATTTAAATTATCAATGTTTTTTTATTTTTTTTTAAATATTAGTTTTGAACATTTTCAGACATAATCTTAAATTATTTACTATCAATATAATTTTCATTATTTTTTGCATACGTTAAACTTGTATTAAATTTTCATTTTTATCTGTCAAGTCTCTGTTACACCTGTATATAATTTTTATTTTATTATTTTAATATTTTAGATAAAATTTATAATGTGGATTGGAATGTTATCAATGTAAACAAATTTGTTGAAACAGAAGAACCTACTATGGAACAAAGAAAATCAAAATTTTATGAAGAATATCTCAAGACCCCTAATGTAATTTCACCGTGGTACAGAAACATAGTACCAGTACAAGTAATAATATTTTTGTTATTTGTTTTAAACACAATTCTTGTAGCCGTACCAACTTGTATAAACATTTTAATAGTTTAGAATCAATTTGCAATAAATTTAATTTAGATTTTCTAAAAATCATAGTTTTAAATATTTGAACTTCATTATTTTTATTTTTACAATTTATTATATTATAATAAGATCGGATATATTAAACATTTCTATTCTGTGTCTGCTGTTCTACAGCTTAAATAGTTAACTTATAAACTACAAAGTATAATATTTTATATGAAGTTTCAACAGTTATTTTAGTTTTAAAGCAAGTTAAGAGTATTTTAAAATTGTACAGTTTCACATAGGTATACTGCCTTTAAAATTTAAATATCGATTATTATTATTAGCATATGGCTCCGGCATAAATAGTAAAGACTAAATACATAATTTAACAATAGGTAATAAGGGCTAATAAACTAGTGAACTAAAACTGAGGCTAACATAAAAAATAAAAGACTAAAATAAATTAAAAATGAGAGATTACAACAGGATAAAAAATAAATTTGGTAACAAAATTGGTAATGTATGGCACTTTCCTCTTTCCGATTAGGCTTGAACTAGGTCACAGGCACACATCTAAATTTTCCATCCACTTGATGGCATCATCGCTGGCTGAGTGGATTTCCTCAAAACTTCCCGTATATTTTGTTATTGGGCATTCATTTACTATGTGCCTGATAGTTAGTATTTGCCCACAGCCACATAAAGGTGATTCCACCATACCCCATTTATGTAGTAGGTAATTACATTTTCCTTGTTCGGTTCTAATGCGGTTTAAGGTGGTCCACAAGGCACGCGGTAAATTAAAACCGGGTGTTTTTGCTGTTGGATCTTTGATCAGAGATGAGTTTCGTATGTTAGATTCTAGCCATGTCCTTTTCCATTCAACTTGTGGATCAGTGTCGGTCGTTGCTTCTTCCCAAATGGGGTGTGTGGATTTAAGCTGTTTATTTGGGTGATGTACTTGGTCGTTGTAGATTGGCAGGTCATCATTCCTTTTAATTTTATTGATGGTACTTTGGGAAGCTTTTTGTCTCCTAACTTCTGGGGGGTCGATGTGTGCGAGAACAGGTAGCCATTGGGTTTGAGTACTTCTAACTGTCCCTGTAATTGTTCTCATGGCTACATTTAGTTGGACGTCAATTTTTTTGCAATGAGCGCTTTATCCCTGTAATACCACCACCAGATTGTATATAAAATTTTGTTCAATAAAAAAAAAATAGTCAGAATAGTTAAAAATTCATATCCTCCTCTTTAAAAAAGTTTAATTTTTTTAGGCTTTTTTTGCTTTTTATTGACTTTTATTGTTCCAAATTATTTCAAACCTATTTATAAACCAAAATATTATAGATGAATCTATCTTAATGCCAACGAATAAGTAAAATATATTATGTGTTATACGAGGTTTAATTTATAACTGTCATAAATTATTTACTTACATATTTGTATAATATAATATAAAACCTATATACCTTGTATTAAATTTTTATTACTAAAATAAATAATATATTTTCAAAATTATTGATAACAGTTGTTGGTTTTTATATTTGTCATATTTAGAGATATATTGTCACTGATGTTTACTTGGATATGACACCTGAAAGTTCTTTTCCAACTTCTGAGTATGATACATATGCAACATACTTTAGTGATAAGTATAGCATTCAGGTTGCCCGTAAAAATCAACCCATGATTAAAGTAAAATCATTGGGTGTGTCAAAAATTAATTATTTAGTTCCGAGGTAGTATAATAGTAATGAAGAATTGTATTACAAAATAATAATTTTTGTATTTGTTTTTAGAATTTCTACCGGTAAAATTGATAAACGAAGTGAATACATTGAGATACTTGTACCAGAATTTTGTACTTGGCATAAATTCCCATCAGTTTATTGGTTAAAAGCTTTAATGCTACCAACTTTGATTATTCGATTAGATAAGTTATTACTGGCTGAGGATCTTCTGGTAAAATTAATTCTTTATGTAATATTGAAGTAGAAGACAATACAAACAGTAAGTTAAATGGGTAAGTTTATTTTATATTATTTTTTATTATTTTTTTGTTCGCAGAAGACACAGTAAAGATTGATGATTTTAGTGGTAATCTCGAAGGCAAAAAGAAAAATATTATATTGCCAATAAGTGAAACATTAAAATACTTAGAAAACTCCCATGACAATAATATGGTTGATGAGTGGAATTCAAACAATTTTCCAATCGATATTGAAAGGCCAAAAAAACACAACAATGTTGGATGTTCTTAAGTATCATACATTATGTACGCTATAAATAAATCCAAGAGTAACGATAGTATCGTGAGTAAAAATATAAATCAGTCTAACTTACAAATATACTTATGCATTTATTGCTTATAAACAAAGTGAATATTTATTTTAGGATAGTCAAAAATCAAAATCATCCAGTTTAAACGAGGTTAGTAATGCAGTTATTAATTAGCATTTTTCTTTGGTTGTTTAATGTTTTGTCAGTTAGTTTTAGTCCTCGATAAATTAATGTTAACATAATATCTAAGTGGTTAGGCAAATTGTATAATGCTATCTTAATTTTCAGTACTAAATATATTATACTATTATTATATAATATAGAAATAACAATTTGGTGTGCCACCTTAAACAATTTTCCTTCATTGACTAATTGTTTATAAAAATATAAAATATTAGATCAATATGTTTCTTTTAACTATTCCAGCTATAAAAAGGTAGGAAATCAGTGCTAATATGCTATTAGTGATAAATACTAATAATACCCAATGTGTTTTCTCTATCTTACAAATGCACAACATAAAAAATTTTACGTTGAGAACAATTCCTTTAACTTTTGTTTTTAATATTAGAGTGAATTGATGTATCATAAAACTTTAAGGTAATAAATTAGCTTGGGCTTCAAGCTGGACTTTTTTTTGTTATAATATTTTAAAGTAAGTAATGAACATTTTAAAATTGGATATTATTGGAAATCTTAAAATTTAGATGATAATTTAGATTCTCTAATTACAATTATTCTTACTTTTAAATTTTGATAGTACATTTATTTAACCTAAAATTAAAATAAAAGATTTGGTGGATATTCTGGACGTAAAATTTGCCATATTGGGTATTGTAAGAATGAGACAACAAAAGTGGATATTAATATTGTTGTAAAATAAATAATATTACGTAATGACCAAAACTAAAGTAGATTTTAATTAATACACAAGCACTTGAATATTATATATTTTGTTGAAATCTAAAATAAATTTATAACAGGATTTATAATTTGTAATAGATGTTATTTATCAATTATCATTTAAATCTTTTCCAATGTATTACTTACCATTTTTAAATAAATATAATTTATAAGTTATATAATAAATTATTAGTTAACCTTATTTTTAGTACCAAATACGTTTGTATAGATATTATTTTATTATTTTTAAGTTCTAAGGGTTACTTATATTGCAGCTTAAATCAAAATCAAAATACAAATCACCAGATGGAAAATCAAATCATAGAACGGTATTAAAATGTTTCATACTTTAAGGTTTTTATTTATTTGCTTTGCATGACCTTTTTTTATGGTTTTTTTATCTACATTATGATATTCGTGAGTCATGAACTCATGACCAATAAGGCTATGATTAATGAGTTATATAGGTATAGTAAACTAGTAAAGTATAGTATTTAGTTCAGTGACGTTATTAGGTTAACATCATCGGTGTTGCAATTTTTCTTAAGTGATTATGGATATTTAAATATGCGTACACCTCTCATTTACTCTAATTTTAAGCCTGGACCTCCATATTCCATTTTTTTTTTCGGTGCATCATTGTTGGATCCCAAGTACTACAGTAGTTGGGTCCTAAATTTTTTTTGAGGTATCACACTAGTTGGGTTCCTAATATTTTTTGGTGAGGTAACTCTATACTAACATTATCTATTTTAACAGACTTAGGAGTTAGGACCCATATAGCAAATATAATGTATTGAAACATATTTGATATTCACTGTAAATACGTTTTTGTATATTAATTGTTAGTTAACATACGTTCAATGTTTTGACGATAATTGAAAATCAATTTATTAGTTTATATATTTGTATGAAAACTTCATTGCATCAAGATTATGATATCAAAAAATAATTTGTGCGCAATGTATGTAAGATATTTTTTGTATGGTACATGTTATAATTAATATTTATTTCTTATCTAAAAATGTTTATCCTGACTAACATATTTGCAATGTAACTATTTAATATCAAAAATCTGATTTGTTAAAAATATTCATTAGATATTTTGTTAATGATACAGAATAATACAGAATATATTTCACTAATATTTATATGATAACTAAAAAAGGTTATCTTGAATAACATATTTAGCGTGTACCTATTTAAGAGGACGTTACACCCGCTATGTTGTCCCCGTCTTACACACATAGTATGTACGGCATAGCAAAAACTGTTTTGGCGCGGGAAAAAACCGAGAAAGCTACAGTAATAACCAGGGCTCGGGACTTAAAGCATTTGCTTATTTTTATGGATTGGCTTAAAATGTAGCAGAGTGCTATGGAAGTGTATGTCGTGTTACGAGACATTCAGTTATGAAATTTAAAAGTGCTTTTTTTTTGCTTTTTTCATCGATTTTCCAAAAAATGCTTATTTCCAGTTTTTCTGATTATTTTTGATTTTTTGACCAGTTTTTCTACTTTTTTTTATGGTTTTATACTGCAAAGTTGTTTTTGATAGAATTAAAATTAAATCATTTAATGCAATAATGATGGTAAGGTTCAATTAATTATTTTTTTTTTCAACTAATTGTAAATATTGTTTACATTTTAATTTTTAGAAAATCCCTCGGAAAATCTATAAATAATAATTTGAATGTCCTCGAAAGTGAAGTTTGATTTTTTTTATAATATAAAGATTTATTTATTTATTTTTATTTTTTGTTAAAAACTTTTCCTAATCATTATTTTTAACACAGTTATACAAATTATGTCTATAGTACCTACTTTATCATGTAAAAAGAAATTTTTTTTTGATGAAATATTTTTGCTTAATTTAAGTTTTTAAATGCTTATTTTAATGCTTATAATGATGTTTTTAAGCGCTTTTTTAAGTGCTTATTTTAATGATTTTAAGTGCTATAAGTCCCGAGCCCTGGTAATAACTAAGAAACAAACTTTTGCTGAGCAATATCGCTTTTATTTTTTCGTTATATTGTTATATTGTCCAATATTACGCCACTATTTTAGTTGACTATTATTAATCTTTATTTTTGTTATATATTTAATACTAAACTTAAGTCTGTTCTTTCTATCTGATATATTTCTATTTGTATATGAATATGATAAAGCATGCATGAGTAGATTCAAAAGTATTATTTACTTGACATGATATTTTGATATTATCATAACGTTAGGCTTTTATTAGGATTTAACTGTCGTTATCAAATGTAACCTTCATGAATATTAATGGGTCTAAAGATTTATATTTATATAGAGTTCTCAGTATCATAAAATTTGAATTATATTTTAGGAGTGCAAAAAACGTAGACTTTCATCATATAATAAAGAAAAACTTGAAGAAATCAATAAATTTATGATACAATCAAAGCCAGAACCTATGATTTTTCAAAAATTAGTTGAACTCAACATCATTAACTTCGTAAGCATATTATGTTTTATTCAACAGTATAAATATAATATGTTATATTGTTATTTGTTTTTGTATGAAATGCACATTTTCGTGATATTAGGTTTATTTGTTTAATACTTCCAAGTTTTATGATATTTTGCAAAATGTTAAAAATTACTTTCAAATTATACAATGCTTGTGCTATATATGTACTATTCACTTATGTAACCTTTCTGTGACCAAGCTAGCACATGTTATTTGTTAATAAAAATAATAAACTATACTCTGTCTCAAATAAAAGTTTTAAGAGACGCACTTCTGTGTATGGGCTATGTCAATAGATGTGGCTAACACGCGCCGTGTTGTTACTTTATTATTTTAACAACTGTCTAGCTTGCATATTTTGCTAAGATTTATAGGGTAAAACAATTTTTAGGCCAGGACATATCATTGTTAAAAAAAAAAGTGACAATGAAAACTGATTTAACCTTTATAGAGTTATCTGGCCGAAATCAGTTACCACCTGAGATTACTCTTATTTGAAACGACAGTATATATAGAATACAGTGACTTAGCACTTGTCTAGCTTTGCTTGCCTCAGCACAGAAAAATTATAGTGATTTATTGGGGAAATACTTTTTTTCGACTAACTAATGTTAGAATTAGGCAAAGAGTCGTAATTTATTTTGATAAACTGTATAACAATAAATGCATTTAAAGGGTTTTTAGAGAAAATTTCCTTACAATAGTTTTTTAGAACATTTTTAAAATTTAAAAGTTAAGTAGGTACTTACTCACAATAATAATTAATGATTACATTTATTGAATATAATAATGGTTAAGTATATTTTAAAACATTTATAATCTATGTCTGAACTACAAAATTATTAAAATTTTTAATTAAATAATTCACATTTACAGTAGAACTTGGTATAATTCCATTCAAGGACTATGGGAAAAAAGATCAAAATACCTGCCAATCTGGTGTCATAACAACAAACATTAAAAAAGTTATTACAAAACAATTTACATTATAATATATTTAAATCACAAAATCTTAACTCAAATTATATTATTATTTTGTTTAAAGTAAAGTGTATTTTCATTACATATTACTATTTATTTTTAACATTATCTTTTTCTAAAAAATCATGTTGTATTTTGTTTTAAAAATTAAGTTTTATTTTAGATAGCCATGTAATTGATATTATACTAATTGCTTAATATTTGTCTAGTATAAAATTATTGTATTTTAAGCTTCAACCAGGTCCCTTGTTTTGAATTATTAATTATTTACCATTTAAATCAGTGTTTGAAAATTATATTATGTAGAACTTATTTAATCAAATGACTTATTCAAAATTGGAAACACAATACTTTATAAGTATTACAAAGATTTGAAGTCATTATTAAAACTTTAAAAAATAACTTTTTATTAATATTGTTTTTAATAAGCATACATTTTTGTTTTAGAAATTACATCGATCATAAAATAAACATTATACTTGCTTAACTACAAGAAGCTTTAAGTTTAGAATGTTATTTTTGAATTTGGTCTTATACATGTATAACTATACAAAATATCCTACTTAACATTTATGAAATAAATTTTAAATTAATATTGTTGCTTTTAGATAACCTTAGATTAAGTTTATAACAATATTTTTCTTTGAAATGTTGTCTTTTTATTATTGTTTAGTATCCTATAAAGTAATATAATATTATGATTATATTATATTATTTTATTATATTATTATTACAGTAGAACCTCGATTATCCGTGACTCGATTATCCGTGTTCGCGATTAACCGTGCTCACTCTTCCGAAAATTTAAAAATAAATATGGACTGTAGATATTAAAGGTCTCAATGGAACAAGTGTTTTTTTGCACCCTTGTATCTGTGACACGGATATATATTTTGAATAAACACGTATTTCACGTGACACGTGAATTCGAAATTGGTACGAGGACTATAATAATGATTAAACAATCACCGAAATTGTCGTCCACGATCGCAGTTACCTGTAACGCCATCCGTGCCTGATTGTCGTGATTTCCATCGCCGCACAATATAGTTTTAAATCTCTCCAAAGTCCTAGGTGGCTAAGTTTGTCACGATCAAGCCCATATGCGTTGCTACATCAATCACAAATTGAACTAAATTCAACCCACTTCATTGACAGGGACGATTTGCCTTAATTTTATTATTTTTTTTAATTAATTATTATTTTAATTTTGTTTTTTCGATATATCCATATTTTGCCATTTTTTGCCATCCCTAGTGGTAATAATGTTTTCGTTTACTTTATAATCACGATAATAACATCAACAGTCAATAATAAAAATATCATAATATTTAATCAAATAATTTTGAAAAGGACTCGTATCACAGAGATATCACAATTATATTCTTAAAAATTATAACGCGGTCAAAAAGATCGCGGTGCGACGAAAGACATAATATACACTAATGCGACTAACGAATAAGATTGTACCTGTGTATTTCTAATTATAGTTAAATAAAAAATGTCATTATTATAAAAAGTCTCGATTAACCGTGGTTTTCATTTATACGTGTGACCCCCTCCCCACCATTACCCCGGATAATCGAGGTTCCACTGTATATTTATTATTGAACAAGTAAATTAAACTAAATCAAATGTATTATTTTAGGTTGAAGTGAAAGATATACTAAAAAATGTGTTAACTGAGATGAACACTTTAAATTTAACAAATAATCCACCACCAAAATTGAGTTCACTGTCCATAAAAGTTTCAAAACAAAATATCGGACCGAAGCAGAGTGATATTTTAAAGGTAATATTTAAACTAACAAATAATACATACATAGGCATTTGGCATTTACTAATCAATTTAAAGTTAATAAAAATATGCAGTTTAGTATATGTTCATTGTCCATTTTTTATTTTAAACATTTTGTAACTTGCTGAAACTAAAAGTGTTTAAAACAATTGTAGTTCTTTTTTACATTAAAAAAAAAAAAAAACAGGAAAACAATTCAATTTTTCATAATTTGTTGTAGGTATCCAAAATTTAAATTTCAAAAGATTGTTTTAATCATTTTTTTAAATTAGTATGTATTTTTATGCTGAATATGATGGACAACAATATTTTGACTATCATACTTGATTTTGATTTTATACTTACAACTTTTATCTATACACAATTATTTGTAAATTGAGTTTTTTTCTCTGTAAATAAAATAAATAACTCAATTTTCTGTCAATTTGAAATTGCCTTTGCCATAGTATAAAGGAAAGAATTCCCTATGTATGTCTTTTTAATTACTATATACTGGGTGATTCTTTTATCAAACAACACTCATTATTTCACAAAGTGTAAATTTTTTTGAAAATATTTTTTTACATAGTTTCAAGTCGCTTATAAAACAACGTTTTTATTAAAAAATTATTTTTTTAATTATTTTTTATCCTTATAATTTTTTAAGTTTTTTACTTTTTTGAATAACAACATAGGGTTTTAATTTTATATTCCAAAGCAGAATATTTTTCTTAGTATTTTGATACATGAAAATCGAATTTGGGTTGAGTAGTTTATGAGTTATAAGTATTTAAAGTTTAGATGAGCGGTGAAATGGACAAACATTTCCCGGGGTAACCCCGAACCACTCCACTTCGCTCGTCTAAACTTTAAATACTTATAACTCATAAACTACTCAACCCAAATTCGATTTTCATGTATCAAAATACTAAGGAAAATATTCTGCTTTGGAATATAAAATTAAAACCCTATGTTGTTATTCAAAAAAGTAAAAAACTTAAAAAAATATAAGGATAAAAAATAATTAAAAATATAATTTTTTAATAAAAACGTTGTTTTATAAGCGACTTGAAACTATGTAAAAAAATATCTTCAAAAAAATTTACACTTTTTGAAATAATGAGTGTTGTTTGATAAAAGAATCACCCAGTATAATAACAATTTTAGGAAATATATTATCGAACATTTTTCTTTCCAAAAATGTATCTTCCAAAAAATGTTGAATGTAAAAAAAGCAATCAGTTTTTCAAACTTATTCAGTAACTTAAGAGGACGTGATACCCGCATCTGTTGTCTCCGTCTTACAAGTGCTCAACATAGCAAATTTTACTCAAAGCAGAACACGTGTAGCTCCGTTAGTTTAAAAATTAGAGTGAATTGACCTCTTGCAAAATATAAAAGTACCTAAGACGGGTTTTTTTTTATTATATTTTAATTTTAAAGCAAGCTCTATGAGTATTTTAAAATTGTAAATTATTTGCACATTTTAAAGTATTCATTACTCGCTTAAAAATTAAAATATAATAAATAGCTCATGAGGTTGTCTAGATAATAATCTTACCTTTAGATTTTATAAGAGATCAATTCACTCTAATTTTTAAACTTAGTTGGTATCACGTTCCTTTAAGACATACATAATGAAAATACAAATGAAAATTGAGCACAAGTTCTTAAGCTGTATTTGTTCCAAATTTTAAACAGACATGTGGATTGAAAAATTAGTATGAGTAAAAACAAAAAAGGATGATAATGTGTACCCTAAAAAGTTTATATATTTATGCATACATATTCTTATTCCATAGCCTCCTTTATTAAATATTAAATTCTAGGTCAATAAAACTAGTATCACTTGTCACCAAATCAGTCTGCTAAATAGTTTTATTCATAATAATTGTTTGATATTGTTCATCACTCAATCTATCATAACAATAATTTTTTTAATTACACTTTCAACACTGGGCGAACAGTATGCTAGTATGAACACATTAATGTAAAATCAATAAATTCATTGCTCCACTCAGAATTTAAAAAATCATTAGTTACATTATTTGATAAAAATGTATTGAATCATGCTAAAAAAATTAATTCAAATAAAATTTGGTTGTGCTTAATTTGAGGACTGGTAGAGTCTAGTTTAGAAAATCCATATACTTCACTTCTCCTTTTTATGTTATATTAATGCAATCTAAAATTTTTAATTTTTAATACATTTTGTTTATTTTTTGTTTAGGTTATAACACCACCATTTGCTAATGACATGTTTAATTATGAGCGCATGGAAACATACGGCGATAGTTTCCTGAAATTTGCTGTATCATTGGTATTATTTGATGCTTTTCCATCAGATAACGAAGGAGTTCTTACTGAATTAAAAATGAAATTGGTTGGAAATCGAAATTTGTTATATGCTGGCAGGAATTTAAATCTTGGATCTTATTTAGTGGTATGTAAAGGTTAAATATTTGCAAAAAAGAAAATTAATAACATTACAATTTAGGTAAATGTTTTTGACCCAAACATGGATTGGATACCTCCATGTTTTGGTGTTCCTAAAAAATTAAAGGAAATCATTGAGGAGGGTAATTTTCAATCAGATGTACTTCATCAGATAACCATTCCTAAAGACAATCAAACTACCGGTAAAATATAAAAATATTGATTAATAATCAATGAATATTAACAATGAAATAGTTTGTTTCAAGAGTAATGGAAAGTTACTATCTATATAAGTATTATATTTTTAACTAGTTGGAAGTTTAATAAATCTACTTATTTTTCTTTGTTCCCAACTATATGATTGGCCATCCTTGTCTTTCACCGCCCCGTCATGGGACCCCCTACTTCACCATTACTCATATCAAATCTTCTTCAACCTTCCTCTCCCTATATTTCTACATTTCTTTCTATAGCCATTCTCACTGCCTCCCAGTCACTTCAGTTAATAACATTACCAAAAAATCTCAACCTATTCTTCCTAATTTTGTCTAAAATTGCTGCTATTCCTTCACAACCCCTAATGATTTCATTTATTATTTCATCACCCATAGTCACTATAGACATCAACCTTAGCATTACAATAACTGATTCATTCACCCTCAGTTCTGCTTTATTGTCCACTGCCAAAGATTCCAATCCATATAACATTACTTGCTTCTCAACTATTTTATAAATTCTACATTTTAATCTCAACGGCATCCTTTTGTTCCACAAAAATACCTTACGCTTCACTTTATTTATCCACACATAATCCTATCCTGACATCATCCTTTGACAAAACCACCATTCTTTTGTTCTGCCGATATATAAACTTAAGCCTATTTACTTCACTATATCATCCCCCATCTTTATCATATGTTTTGCCTTATCAATTTCTCAATTACTTGCTCCAAAATCATTCACAATTGCCTTAGTTTTACTTCCACTTATCCTTCCCTTCAAGCACTGTTCTCCACTCTTCCAATCTCTAGTTTACTTCTTTCAGCATTTGTGAACATCATGGCACTTGGTATGTCTTTTGTAATTTAGTCCACTTCTAAGGAGTACAACAGGTAACGGTTCATACACTCTTCACTCTTGTTACACCCTTCGTACATATCCTATAGGCTATAATACTTCCACCAGTGCCACAACTACCGCAGGTGCCTGATGAACCTCACAATGTATGTATTGGGTCCTCGGATTTTACCATTACCATATTATGTAATATTATAAAACAATTGTAAAATATAATATAAGAATTCAATCATTTTGAATTTTGTATTTTCGTGTATATAAATATTAATAGTATATAGTATATACTATTTCATTAGATCAAATAAAAAAGGAAAAACAGGAATTTATTTGCAAAATTGATTTTAGACAAAATCAATTTTGGTTTTAGGTGTAACTCTAAAGAAATGACCATAAATACATGCAGTTTTTACTGTATATTAGCATTTCTATACACCAAAATATTTTAACTTATTTTGAGCTGTTTACGGAGATTCTCAGTTTCTATTTTTTTTAGTTTTTTATTCTATAAATATTAATAAAATTTGTTGGGTAAAAAAGCTTGAAAATTAATAGAAGTCTCCTAATATATTGTTTCAATATTTCAAAGACAGATGAAAAATATTAAAATCCATACTTTTTTTCTATTTAAATCTAAGATTTGAAAATGTAATACAAGATTCCTCATTAGTTTGTTTACCTTTATCAAAAAAAAAAATGTCTTCAAGCAAATAAAATAAAATTTTTATGAGCGTTCGAAGTTCATATTTTTACAAGATTGGATATTCACTTGATTTAACATCTAGCGGATTTTGGGTACTTCCAGGTTATCTCGACTACCCAAATATTTCCAAGACTACCTGTTGGAATCATCCGGGTTATCTCGACTACCTCCGTAGACCGTAATTTATTAATAAATATATATTCCCGCGTTGTAATCTGTATCATTGTAATGTACAATATTTAATTTTGTCTTCGATGTACAATGTACCTACCTACTATAAGCAGATTAGTTGACATTAACCACTTTCTGTTTGGTTATTCGGAATCCCAGAACTGTAATCTATATCATTGTAATGTACAATATTTAATTTTGTCTTCGATGTACAATGGTGGTTTTTATTTCGTCAGTCATTCGACAATCGCCCTATTTTCCGTATTAGCGCTACCCGGCCGCTACGTCTAGTTAAATATATCGTTTAGTCAATATGAATTGAATTTCTTTTCCAAAATACAATTTTGGAAAAGAAATCTTTTGGAAATGTAATATTAAAAAATGCCAAAAGAAAGGTAAATATACGTAATGGTAATTGGTTTGCGAAATCACGAATATCGTTTACGACTGCTGTGCGATTTATATATGGGTGGTCAAATGAAATGACTAGTATTAAGTGGTGTGAACAAGAACTTAATATAAGTGAAAATACAGTTATTGACTGGAATAATTACTTACGTGAAGTATGTGCAATGGCGATTGAAAATAAACCACAGGGGAAAATAGGTGGACCGGGGAAAAAATAAAGATTTTTCAAAATAGATTTATATTATTATTCAGAATAGATTTTATATATTTTTATTATTTAAAAAATTGCGGTAGTCGAAATAACAAGGTTGATCATATAATAGGTAGTCTTGGAAATATTTTGGTAGTCGAGATAACACGGTTGTGAACCTAAAGTAGTCGAGATAACACGGAAGTACCGGATTTTGTTATTTTGTTGTAATTCAAAAACGAATCTCTGTAGATACATGAAAATTTCACTGAATGTTTATATTTTCATTTTCTATACACCATAAAATGGTGACTCTTTTGGAGCTGTTTACGGACATTGTCAGTTTTAAATTTTTTTGTTTTTTTTTTTTTCGATAAACATCGATAAATTTTTATTTATTTTGCCAAAGCGTGAAAATTTAATAAAGGTTCCTGATATATTGTTACAATAGCAAGTTAAAAATATTAAAATACATAGGCACAATTTTATTTATGAGCATTTAAAGTCAGATTTTTGACAAAATTCATCAAATTTAAAATTTAATAATTATTTTGTAGTTAAAAATTTATAAAATTTTGAACTTTTATAGCTAAAGATTTAAAATTTAAAAGAAGGTTCCTCCTCGGAAATAAGTTATATTATATAAATTACTCTATTCACAATAACATCATCGAATATACTTAGTAATATTATATGCTGACTTAGCATCTTCGCTCAGAATCGCTTTTCTTATACAATGATATTACATATCATTGAATTCAAATTTGACACCATCCATTAATAGTGACCCACTTGTAACCAACTGTACAGCAGACTAACACCTGCTTGTCCACCTTTTTCAAATTGTACAGTGGTTTTTCCTCTTTGAATGTAATTTAAGGATTCATTCATTTGTATCTATCTTCAATTTTACCAACTTTATCTGTCATGGAATTTACTGATTAATTTAAATATTTAATTTGTAAGAATTAGGAATTTATAAATGTAATAAATGTACCTATAATAAGTGAATTTATTTTGTATTAGTATTTACTATTTTGTAATCATATATTTCTGTCTGCCACTGTTTATGTCTTAAGTACATATAAGAAGAAATCCATTAAAAGGTCAGGGAGGAGGGGGCTAACATTTTATACATCAAAGTGAGCAAAGGGCTTGGTTACCACACAAACAAAATAACCTTACAAATTTTTTTTTTTCGGGAGGGGGGCTTTTGGTATATTTGGTGGCTAAGCTCCCCCCTATTTCCGCCAATGTTACAGTAAAAACTAAAAGGGCCTCAAAATTGTAATTGCGGCACTGACTTTCACATACATCATCTGTATTATTTTCCTTTCTGTTGGAAGTATAATAAAATATTAGATAAATGCAATAGCATATTATTTGTTTATTATATATCTAAGTAGTTTTTTAGTTTTAAACATATTTTTTATATTTTATGAAAACATAATAATGTTAAATTCAAATTAATGCATTAAGAGGATGTCACACCAGCATGTGTTGTCTCCGTCTTACAAATGTACAACATAGCAAAAACGGTTTTGCTTGGGACAACTTTTCTCGCACCATATTTGTTGTAGAACTACCAAATTTTCACAACACGTAAACAAGAACTTTATCTGTGCAACAGCTTCCTCCTTTTTTTAATAGCACTATCCAATCAATTTTTATAAGCAAATGAAAGAAACAAAAAAACCAAGTGGTTAGAAGCAAATAACTTCTATTGTGTTTAATATTTTATCTAAAATATTTTGCATGGATAATTTTCCACCCTATATGTTCAGACATTTTGGAGCCACTACTACAAACACAGAAAAATAAAAGTTGTCCTGCGCAAAACAGTTTTTGCTATATTGTACATTTGTAAGAAGGAGACTACACATACGGGTGTGACATCCTCTTAACATATTATTTTATAATATTTTTAAAACATGTATTAATTTTAGGAATATTATCAGATGAAACTTGGACTGAAATTGAGGCTGAACTCTTGAAATTTAAGCGATTGTCTGATATGCCAATATCAGATAGCGATGAAGAAGATGGTATACCACAAATTGGCCATTCACAATCTGATCTATTTTTACACAAACAATCAGTATCGGATAAAATGGTGGCTGACTGTGTTGAATCATTGATTGGTACATATGTATATGTAAGTATGACTAATAAAATAATATATCATATTTTTTAATCACAATTTGTTTTTATTTTAGAAACGTGGAGTTGAAGTAGGCTTTAAGGTTCTCCAAGGTCTGGGTATTATACCAATACAATTCATTGATACATTTAAGCCTAAACCAATGGAAAACTTATATGTTGGCTTAGATTTTTCAAAAATTTTGCCTGGATATGAATTACTTGAACGAAGAATTGGTTACTCATTTAAACATAAGCATCTATTAGCTCAAGCTCTAACCCATCCAACCTACCAATTTGGGTTTTCTGAATGTTATCAAAGACTTGAATTTCTTGGTGATGCTATACTTGGTTAGTTATTACTTGGTTTACCAAGTATTATAATATAATGTAAACAATTATTCAATAAATATTCCCATGTCTTTCTAAATGTATTATAATCTAAACATTTCATATTGTGTAATTCCTTAAAATATCTCTTATTGAACTTCTATAATACATTGAATTTGTATATTATTTCAGATTTCTTGATTACAACATATATAATAGAACATTGTTATCACAAAACTCCTGGTGAAATAACTGATATTAGATCTTCACTAGTAAACAACATAACATTTGCTTCATTGAGCGCAAGAATTGGACTGCATAGATTCATTTTAGCTAAATCTGTACAAATGACTGAAGCAATAGATCGTTTTTATGAACATCAACAAAAAAACAATCATAAAATTGGCCAAGAAGTAAAATTTTATTTTATTTTAATAATATTTAATATAGTAGTATAATCTATCCTATTTTTAGGTTTTGTATCTAATAGAAGAAAGTGATTGTTATGCAGCTGAATCTGTAGATGTACCGAAAGTATTGGGAGACTTATTTGAGTCACTAATTGCTGCAATTTATTTAGACTGTGATAGAGATTTAAATTTTGTGTGGGCCATTTGCTATAGATTTTTGGAAAAAGAAATCAGTAAGTTGATAGATATTGTTTAGCAAGTCCTTTAAAATTTTTTTTTACAATACTTTGTAATTTATACATTAATAAGCTATAAATCTTATTTGAATAATATTATAATTGAGCATATACATAGTTTACATTGGTTGAGTTGAAAACTAAAAAGAAGATAATTTAACTTAGTAGAAATTATTCATACTTGACTATCTCAATATATTATTTAATTATTATTTAAAAAGGTTGAATGCTTTTTAATTTAAATTATAAAATATATTTTATTTATATGTGATAATTATTTATAATACATTTTACTTTTCAGAAGAATTTTGTGACAATGTTCCTAAAAATCCTATACGTATTTTACACGAAACTAAATTACAACCAACTTTCAGGTTTGTACTAATTAGTTTATAAAGTTAAATTAGTTATATGACTATGGCAAATACAATTTATATATTAATATGGACAACAGCAAAACAAACAGTTATTCATTCAAAAATATTTGTATTTCATTTAAATTTTTCAAGTTAATTAAAATTACAATAAAATCAACAAGTCGTACTACTATACTGTAGGCGTTGGGTGAAACCATCATTCAGCAAGCCACTGCAAATGAAATGTTCAATTTGAATTCAATGATAAATCATTGTACCTATATGAAGAAAAACAATTATGAGCTGCAGAGACAGTCTAACAGCCTATTTGTCCATACAAATTTGGATATTGACCTTATGAGAAATCCTATATTATATTTTCATACCTTGGATCAGTGGTTCTCAACCTATTTATGTTCGCTTCATATTTTTATAACGATATATTTTGACGGAACATTATAATAATATAGTTTATATAAATTATAATGTTAACTTAAAAATATTACCTTTACTAAAACCACGATTGTTAGAAGACATAGTTGGCTGCTACACAATAAGTGTAATGAAATCTAATAATCATTATTGATAACAAAAATTAGGTACTGGGAAATTTATATTTTCATTAAGAATAATAATATGATTACCGTGCACCTACAACCGGTTAAGAACCACTACCTTAAGTATTAAAATTAAAATGCTTATAAAAAAAATAGTGAATAGGAATATATTTTAATACCTGTAAAAAAACTTTTTAGGAACCTTGTATTAAATTTTCAGGATTTTTTGCTCACAAACAATAATTGTTAAATAATATGTTTTTACTAGGCATAAAAAATAACGTATCCATTAAAAAATGTAAAAATTATATTAAACGATTAACTACCAATTAACAACGGATACTCGATTTTAATGACAGCTTATAATTCTGCAATCATGGGAGATACTAAAACCAAACTTTTAATTTATTCTAGGTATTATTCAGTGCAATAATACAATAAGCAAAATAGCCATAGTAAATACTACATTTTTTGGAGTTATATGTGATTTACTTTTAAAAATATTAATTTTTGATAAAAACAATTATTTTTTCAAATTAATTAAAATAATTTGCACATTTCTGGTTTAATTTTCTACGTTGGTTGATAGAACACTTAAATAGCTTTAAGATAAAAAAAAAATTACGTCAAAATGTTGATTAGTTTTGAAGATACATAAAAATATGTGATAGGTTTGGTTTTTATAAAAAAAAAGTTAACTGCCATAACTAAAAATAAAAAAGTTAGACCCACTCTTTAAAGGGTATTTCTTCATCATTTTGGATATACTTTCATGTGACGTCGGCCAGTTACTTCACCCCGGGACACATTGTATATAATATATTACATTTTTTGATAATTATAAAAATTTAGTCAATAATTCAACAACCTAAAAGGTTGATTAATAATAATTGTGTATTGTTATTTATTTTACAGTAAACCTGATGCTTCTGACAAGGCAGTGGATAAAGGATTAGGAACAATGATGAGGTTAGAGATAATTTTGAACAACAAGATCATGAAAATATATGGATTTGGTCAGAATAAAAAAGAAGCTAAGGTTGCTGCTGCCAAAATGGCCCTAAAGAATATGAAAAAAATGTTATCATAATTATTTATATTATTATTGCTTTTTCTTATCAAGCATTCTAAAGTTTTAAACATTTTTTTAAGATCCTCTTATTAGTTCATATTAAATTATCAAATTTATATTTGTATATTTATATATTATGTATAATTGATTATGTTAAGTATACAATTTGTCAATTAAAAATAATAAAAGGAATAAAGATACAGCGGCATTTGTCAGCTACTGTTATATGTCTACCATTGCGTACAAACATAGCATACATGTATGCAGTCATTTAATATGTATATAAGTATAAAAATCTTGTATCAAATAATATGTTGATTGATTTTACAGACTTTTTTTATTTAAAAATAAAAGTTAATTACAGATACAAATTATTAATGTTTTTATTATATACTAAAATATCTTAGTCCGTGACTGTAACTATGTAAACTGTGTTATCAACAGATTTACCTTTTAAATTGTCGTAATATAGACTGAAATAAAGTGAGATAAGTTCTATATTTAAGTACTAATATTTTGATTGTTAAAAAAATTAAATATAATCAACTATTTAAATACAGAAAGTTTATTAAAATTTGTATTTATTTTTTTAGTAAATGAGAGATATTACTACCCAAGAAATATCATCGATTAAATGATAATGAACATTCTGAGAACATAAAATATTAAAATATTGTATTTTATATTTTTACATACTGCACTACTGCTGCAGTGCCATGGGAGGGGCTGAGTGGGCTTCAGCCCCCCCCCCCCCCGAAATGTTAAGAATTTTTTTTTTTTTATTACACAATATTATATACAATCTGTACAATTATGCACAATTAGCGTATTTGATAAGGGTTAAAAATAATACATGAGTACGTGAGTAAGAAGCCACCCCTTAGTGGCACTTGACTGGAAGTTGTATGAAGCTAGCTATATTTATATATACTGTTTTTTTTTTTTTGGTTTGTTTTAATTTTTGATATTAGTTCCCTAGCAAGTCACAGCACCAGCTCCTTTTTAAGCGACGCCTGGGGTTGCCAGGTAATGTTTGCGTGGATAGGTTTTTAATGAGTGAGTTTTGGTGGGTTTGTAGCTGGGCATGAAAGATTTTGTAGAAACGTGTAGCTTCTTCTGTCACAGTTTTAATTGACAGGTTAGGTTTTTAATATCTACACTTCTGAGTTCTGATCAGCCTATCTCCCAAAATACTACTGTAGCCGATTATGAGGATGACAAAGCTATCATATCATTTGACAAAAACCCTATTACTGCATCAGCAAATCTTCAAACTCATCTCAACCTAATGTCTGAATAGTACAACAATTGGCACATTAAACCAAATCCCAATAAGTCTGTACATACAACATTTACTCTATGCCATATTGCCATTCCATTTGTCCTAATATCTATTTACATAACATACTTATTAGTTATTCCCACATCTGACTCAGTTAGATATTTAGGACTAAACTTCGATAAGCGCCTCACTTGGAATAGCCATATGCCCATATCCGTATAAAAAGAATTTCATTAAACGCCCGTCTTCGCAGACTACAAACGCTACTCACAAACAACAAACACTCCAGTTTAACAATTAAAGTTCTTATACATAAAACATTACTCAAACCTCTATGGACATATGGTCTCCAACTATGGGGTACATCAAAAGCGTCCAACATTAACAAAATTCAGCGATTTCAGAATATTCCTCTTAGGAAAATTACTAATGCTCCGCCCTTTGTTTCGAAATACACTATACATAAGAAAATTTAAAAATTATTTTAGTGGTCTATGAAAAAGTCTTAAATTGTATTTAAAATATATAAAAATGTAGGTACTATAACTTATAACACTTTTTAGTTACTGGCTACGCCACTTGGTGGTGGTGGTAAAATTCTATTGTCTTGGCGGTAGTGGTGTTTGTATCTGGCATTTTACCGCTACCTCTGCAGTAGGTAATCGGAAAAAAAGTCCCGAAAAAAAAAAAAATATTATTCTTGTAGGTACTTGTACAGTTCTATAGTTAGTTGTGCTTTGTATTTTAGTGTGGAACTGTGTAAGTGTAATGAATAAAATGCTTGTACATAATATATTATTGTCATCTACCATAATAAGTAATAAATAATAGAAAAAAGTTTACTGAAAAATTCACCAAAATACCTACTAATTATTCTTATACTGCCGTTGTACAGTTGTACTTAGTACTTATTTTAGTGTGTAATGTATAGGTAGGTATAAAATATATTTGTTATCTACCATAATAACTATCATAAGCCATCATAATAAATTTTATTTTTTACACATATTTTTTTAATTTACTAGGAGAGTATCGGGAATATGGAAATGAAAGATTTTTGCTGTATGCCTATATGATAATATTGCCCAAATTCTGATGATAGAATTTTAATGTTTGCCACTGATTAATATTTATCGTTATTGGTCAAATCTGATATCTGGTTTGTCGACGGAAATTTTGGCCTCGCTCCCGAATTTTTCAAGCAATTATACGTTATTCGTGTACAAATAAATTCCGTATTTGTGACATCAGTATATTTCATTCTGCAGAAAAAAAGTCAATCTACATATGAAAAAATATTTAGTATTTTATTAAAAGAATGTCAAGATCGTGACTTGTACCCAGATCCGAAATTTTTACATTTAGATTTTGAATTAGCAGTCATAAATGCTGCAAAAAATAGTTTATTGGAGAATGATGTGTGTCGGCAATTTCTTGCAATGTTTCGAAAATTATTTATGTTTATGTCTGTTTATCTAATATTTTATAAAATGGTCGTAATAGGTACAATACAAGGAAAAGTTTAAGTACACGAGGCGTCGGGTTTTTGAGCGTTCGACCACAGAATAGCTGATAGTGTCCGTTAGCTAATTTTAAACTATATTTCATGTAAATATATTTTATTCACGGGAAAAAAACATCTCCACTAAAGCCCACATGAATCGGAGTCAATTTTTATTTTTTATTTTTTGGAAAAGTTCTGCAGGGTGGGGGGTCCAGTACCCCTGGACCTCCCCTTAAATACGCCACTGTGTACAGCAGACCTACAACGACTTACCCACCTATTTTTATTTAAATCCCGGTAGTCGAGTTCTGGACCTGCATAAGTAACTTATAATAATTCGTATTGTAATTTAATTAGGTAAGTAGGTACCTACCAAAAAAATATAACTTCTCAAACACTGGCGCTGGCGGGAGAATGTATTAAAATGTCTATAAAGTTGCGGACCAGTTTGTATAGGTAGTTAAAATTGGCATGCGAACTATACCTACAACTGAAATAGAAAACCAGAATAGGTACATTGCAGGTCACAAAGATTTCTGTAAAAGAACATCTTTCTTCGGCAAGGCAGCACTCTAGCTATAGGTTCCACCGGAAGAGTCGATGTTTATGAGTAAGTTTGTTTTCATATAGGTATTTATTATTTTACATTTTAGATTCTGAGCGGAGCGATGAATGTATTGGTTTTACAATGATGTGTGTTTTTTTTTATATTTTTATATTTTTTTATTTTTTTTTGTGTCTGTCATCACGTTTTAGGACAGTAAAAGTGCTTGGATTTTCTTCATCAGTAGCTTTTCTGATAGGAAAGTGAATTTAGTTGGTACTTTGGGGGGTCAAAAGTATAAATTTCCCAGTAGTTTTCACAAGCGCCGGGAAAAACAACATAAAAATTAAGGAAAAACGGGAATTTTTACGCAAAATTGGTTTTCCAAAAAATCGATTTTGGTTATTGGTGTAACTCTAAAACAAATGAACGTAGGTATATACATGAAATTTTCACTGGTTGTTTATATTTGCATTTTCTATACACGATAACATTTTCAAAATATTTTGATTTATTTTGAACTGTTTAGGGACATTTTCATTTTCCATTTTTTTTTAGTTTTTTTTCTAAAAATATCAATAAAATTGTATTTGTTGGTTGCGAAAGCTTGAAAATTTAATAGAAGGCTCCTAATATATTGTTTCAAAGGCAGATGAAAAATATTAAAAATCCTTGGTCACCATTTTTTTTTATAAGCATTTAAAGTTCAAAAATTGACAAAATATGGAAAAATCACGAAAATTAGCAAATTATTTTGAGTTAAGAATTCGTAAAAATTTTTCTTTTTAAATCTAAGATTTGAAAATGAAACACAAGATTCCTTATAAGATTATCTACCTTTATCAATAAAAAAATCTCTACCGGACAGTCAAATTAAATTTTTATGAGCGTTTGAAATTCAAATTTTTACAACATTGGATTTTCACTCGATTACTCATGTAGCGATTTCCTTATTTTGTTGCAATTCAAAAACGAACAACTGTAGATACATGAAAATTTCACTCAATGTTTAAATTAGCATTTTCTATACACCATACAATTTTGAAAATATTTTGACTCTTTTTGAGCTGTTTATGGACATTTATAGCTTTCAATTTTTTTAGTTTTTTTTTTCTATAAATATCAATTAAGTTTTATCTGTTGGGCCAAAAAGTGTAAAAATTTAATACAAGGCTCCTGATATATTGTTACAATAGCAGCTGAAAAATATTAAAAATACATAGGCACAGTTTTTTTTTATAAGAATTTAAGGTCAAATTTTGACAAAATTTATCAAAATCTCGAAAATTATCAATCATTGTAATTAATAAATTATAAAATGTTCAGTTTTTATAGCTAAGGATTACAAATTCAACACAAAGGTTCTCATAAATAGTTCATACTATAACCAAAAAATCTAAAAAATATATGAACACACTTATTTTTTATAGGCATTTTAAATTCAAATTTGGACGAAATTACATATTAAAAAACCTAGAATAACTATTTTAGTTATTTTGTTGTGATTGAATAATATTATTCGTGGGTACTTGAAACTTCTAAAGTGTACTATTATATATCTATGATAGTATCACGGTTTTTGTTGATGTATAACGCGTTATAACTTATAACTTATAAGTATCTAATGGATATTGTGATATGATTAATTTGGAATTTATTATAGGTAGGTACCTATTATAGGTCAATTT